GATCTCACCCTTCTACTTTCATGATATCCCTTTATTTCCTGTTTCTTTTCCTTCTAGCTTCCACATAAGAAAAAACATAACCCTTGACTTTCTGAGACTGACTTATTTTTAATATAATGCTCTCAAGTTTCATCCATTTTCCTGCAAATTATATAATTTTGTTCTTTTTATGGCTTAATAAAACTCTATTGTGTATATTCACCACATTTTCTTTTATATTCATTTGTTGATGGGCATCTAGGCTGATTTCATAACATAGTTACTATGAATTGTGCTGCAAAAAAGCATGGATATGCATGTATCTCTGGAGTATGCTAACTTTAATTCTTTTGGAGGAATACCAAGGAATGGTATAGTTGGATCTTTTTGTAGTTCTATTTTTAGCTTTTGGGGGAACCTCCATTCTGATTTCCATACTAGATCTACTAATTTACATCCCAGCAGTGTGGAATTCCAACAGTTCTTTTACCCCAAATCCTTGCCAGCATTTATTATCTGCATTCTTGATGATTTCCATTCTATCTAGAGTGAGATGGAACCTCAGTGTAGTTTTGAATCACATTTTCCTAATGGCTGAAGATGTTGACCATTTTCACTTCTTTTTTTGAGAAGTGCCTGTTCATTTCATTTGCCCATTTATTGATTGAGTGATGTGGTGGAAAGTTTTTTGTATATTCTGTATATTAATCCTCTGTCAGGAGAGTAACTATCTCTTCACTCATTTCCTTTACTGTTCAGAAACTTTTAAATTTAATACTATCTTATTTATTGATTCTTGTTCTTTATTTCCTGAGTTATAGGGGTCCTATTCAGAAAGTCTTTGCCTGCCCCTATGTGTTGAAGTGTTTCCTACTTTKTCTTCTAACATTTGGGAAGTTTCTGGTCTTATACTGAGGTCTTTCACCCATTTTGAGTTGACTTTTATACATGGTGAGAGATAAGGATGTAGTTTCATTCTTCTGCATATGGATATCCGGTTTTCCCAGCACCATTTGCTGAAGAAGCTGTCTTTTTTCCTATGTTATTGGCACCTTTGTCAAGAATCAACATAGCTTTATGGGTTTGTCTCTGTGTCTTCTATTCTTTTCTGTTGGTCTATGTGTTTGTTGTTATACCATGCTTAAAKAAAAAGTTTTTAACTGTACACAATCCCCCCCTCTTTATTTTATGGCTTGTACTTTAAAATTTTGGCTTACTCATAAAATATTTCCCCCATTTCTATTAGCTTTGTTGATTTAAAATTCACATTTAGCCATTGGAGTTGTCAGGAATACATCTTTGCATATGGCACAAGATGGGTAAAGATCTGGCTTCAACTTTTTCATATGAGGAGYCAGATATCCAAGTAAAATCTACTTAACAGTTCATCCTTTCTCCATTTATTTTTATGTTGTAACCATCATCAAATAGAATATTTCCATTAGTCTATTTCTGAGATTTCTGATCTAGTCCAGTCAATGGTTTGTTTTTGCTCTCATACCATGTTGGTTCTACTCCTGAGTTCATTTCATTTTTGCTGCCATCTGTCAGCTACCAATAAGCCCAAAGTATCTCTTGGAACCCTTTGTCCCTATTCCGAAGTGCTCTATAAAGAAAAACTTACAAAAATTTTTGTAACTGCTTCTCAAATTTCAAAACTGTTCTTCTTAATCTCCTACTGTCATTTCTTACTGTAGTCTTGCTGGCTTCCTCTTGCCACCTACTACTCTTATATGCTTTATTCTGAAAATTCAATAACCAAACTCATTAAAATGTTGCCGAAGCAGAGTAAACAACAAGAAAAGGGCAAGAGATTTAGCTCATACTCTTTGTGACATCTACTTAAGACACCCAAGTCTTTTCCTTGTCCTCAGGTATCACCCTGCAACATAGCATTGTGGTCAAGGGTTTCATCCTCTGTACTAGAGAGATTTGGAAGCTTTAGAATTCATTCTGAAAGGCATCATTGATACTGGTCTGGGGAATCAGGATTGGTTCCTTGTTCCCTAAACACCCAAGAAACACCTAGGCAAACCTAGAAAGCAAGTTTCCTTTGAGAGAGAGAGAGTTATACTTCTCCAGAGAAATGAGGATCCAGAGCTGGGTATCCTCAGGAATGAGGTGTCTTGCCTTTTTATAAATCCCGGTTTCCTCTCCCTCTCCACTTCAGTTGGCTTCAACTTTTTCATATGAGAAGTCAGATATCCCAAAGAGGGCCTAAGGACAGGAAAAGAGCAGGGTGATCATTAGCAATTCCTTGTGTTGGAGGAGCAGTTCCCTGGGTTCCCTGGAGGTGTTAGCAACCCATTTCCTTTTCTTTGATAATTTACCAATTAGCTCTCATATTTCTGACCCTGGCTGATCATTTACTTTCTATGCTGACCACCTGTCCTTCGGAAACACTGGAGATGTTGAGCATGAAAACATGAAAATTTTCTTTTATTTTCACCAAGCAATTTTATAGACTACCTTTCTGCCCCATGCATCACTAAATCACTCTTTTATTTATTTGTTCACCAAATATTTATTAAGGACTTACAATAGTTTTAATTAATTAATTTGTCTGTTTTTTTGGTACCAGGGCTTGAACCCAGGGGCACTTAACCACTGGGCCACATTGCCAACCCTTTTTTTTTTTTTTTTTTTTTTTTTAGATAGGGTCTCACTGAGTTGCTTAGGGTCTTGCTAAGTTGCTGAGGCTGACTTTACCTTGGGATCTCCTGCCTCAATCTCCTGAGCCACCGTGCCTGACACAATATTTCTGATTCTATACCAAGTGCTAAACATGTGTAATAGTGATCCAATGGAGCTCTAATTTCATGGAGATTTTTATATCTTATCAGGCTTAGAAGTTAGTTGTAATTACACAGATGATTTGGGGGACGGGGGCTACTCGGAATTAACCTAGGGGTGCTTTAGCATTGAGCTACATCCCTAGCCCTTTTATTTTTTCATTTTAAGGCAGTGTCTTACTAAGTTGCTTAGGGCCTTGCTAAGTAGCTGAGGCTGATCTTGAACTTGTGATCCTTCTGCCTTATCCTCTGGAGTCATTAGGATTATAGGTGTGTACCATCATCCCTGGCTTTACATAGATAATTTTTAAAACCAGTGACATTAATATGATCTAGTGCATGACTAAGAAAATTCAAATGGGTTTAGTCATTAAAACATTTTAGTTGTATTGAACTGCCTAAGAAATATTTTAATAGTTCTCATRTATAAGCCTGCATTTACATTTATAAATATTTTTAAGGTTGTACTTTTATAATAAAATCAAACTATGAAAATAAAATGGACTTGTCACAATGGAAAAGTGGGTTTTGTTATTTTATTATACTTGGATCTAGTTATTATATTGGGGACAGGGGGATATGAAGAGTTTTGAGAGTGATCCCAAATAATTAAGAAAAGGCAAACCAGATAAGGCAAGCTTATATTTAGCATAGGTGTTTGTGTGTCATTGAGGTGAGTAGAGGATAGAGGAGGGATATAGATGGTAGATTTGAGGATCTCAGTTTCAGAACTGCAATGTCTAACACTTACTTGAGGTTTTATAGTTTTCAGAATCCCATTCATGTCWGTTTCAGTCATSTTTTTCACTGCTGTAACAAAAACACCTGACAAGAACAATTTTAGAAGAGGAAAAGTTTATTTGGGACCTCAAGGTTTCAGGGGTCTCAGTCCATAGCATACTCCATTTCTTGGGGCTCAAGGTGAGGCAGAACATCATGGGGGTGTGGTAGAGGGAAGTGGCTCACATGATGATCAGGAAGGAGAGAGACTCCACTCACCAGAYCCAAAATACATACCCCTAAAGGCAGGCCCCCAATGCCCACCTCCTCTAGCCATACCCTATGTGCCTTCAGTTACCACTCACTTAATCCTTATTAGGGAATTAATTCACTGCTTGGGTTAAGGCTTTCATAACCCAATCATTTCTCCTCTAAACCTTCTTACATTATCTCACATATAAGGTTTAGGGGGATACCTCATATCCAAACCATTCCAATATCTTTTATTGAATCTCATAGACTATAGTTATCAAGTGAGGTTTCAACCTGGACAGAACAGTAAGAATTACATCAAACTTATCATAAGGAAGTAGGGCCTTATAGAAAAAGTTTATTTCCTGACAATGGAGACTGTCATACACTGGATCATTTTTCTTTGATGATGTCACTGATTCAGTTCTCTAAAAATCCTTAAAAACTGTATAAATTCCACCAGTAAAGATGGACCTCATTTGTCAAACTCATGTTCAAATAAGAAATAGTACTTTATATTGGTGTGTGTTATGTATGTAAAGGCCTTTCTCTCCTGCATTTTATACTATCTCCTGGATAGTATAAAATGTAGGCATTAGAGTCAAATAGCCCTGTGTGGAATTCTAACTCCATTCTTGTTAGCTGTGTGTCCATGAACAACTTGACAGCTCTGATTTTTTTATCATATAAGCAGCAAAGAAGGGGTTAAGCACAATGAAGTATCCAGTTTGTTTAATTAATATTTGTCCTTCCTCCCTCATACTACCTTCCTCTAAGACCAACATTCTTTCCTCATATTCTAAAATTGAAACTTCTAAGCAAGAAAGAATATGAAATCAAGGATGAAATAAAGCTCAATTTGATACTCACCTTTTCCTAAGCCCCTAATTTTGGTAGTATGCATTAGTCTTTAAAACTAGTTAAATAAGCCAATCTCATTGTTCATGCTTTTTATAGGTGATTGGATGATATCAAGAGAAATGTCAGATTAATCTCTGATTTATAATTGGGCTTCAAATTATATCTCCTCCATGTAATCAACTTTTTTTGGAAAAAAAAAATAACAGGACAGGATTATTCAATATGAGAAGATAATAATAATAATAATTTTCTGCCACTTCCATATGCAAGAAAAGATTCAGGAAAACACAACCCTTATTTTCTTCCTTCAAACTCTTTCTGATGCTTTAATAAACAGTTATCCTGTTTCCTTAGAAAGACATGATTAACATGGGTCAATCTGCATCTCTTTAATAGGGACAAGTGATCCATACGTGAAGTTTAAAATTGGAAGAAAAGAAGTTTTTAGAAGTAAAATAATACACAAGAACCTCAATCCTGTGTGGGAGGAAAAGGCGAGCATTCTTATTGATCATCTTAGGGAGCCATTGTATATAAAGGTAAGCCATTTGTTTTTCCCTAACAGAATCTGACACAATATCCTGTTGAATGGTTCTTTTTTAGCATGTCTCTCTATCTGATGAGACTTTCCACACAGGATGTACTCTGCTGTTCACAAGTCTAATATGTTGATAATGTGATGAAATGCGATAGAAGGTAGAGGAAGCTGGCAAAGGGATTTTTCTTCAGGATAGTTGTATTGTGGTCATTTGGGAGGATCAGGAAGTATATCTCCTCCTGCTTTGTGCTGCCTCCTTATTTAGTGCACTCTGGGAGCATCTTTAAACAAGTCTCCATGTAACCTAGTGAGATGAAAAGCTTACACAGAACCTAGGCTTTCTGTTTAAGAACTGTGCTATTTAAGCTTTTCCTATAAAAGCTGCCAGCTGAAAGGTGTGTGGCCTCCTCTTCTCACCTGAATGTGTACTTSTCCACTGATATGAGAACTCACCAAAAAGACGGAGACATGTGACAACATGTCATGTTTTCTGCCTTTTTCAAGACTTCCCTTCAACCAGATGTGAATATTGTTTCCACAAATTTGCATAAAAATGACAGCCCTGGGCTGTCATTGAATTAGCAGGTCATCAGATCAGTGCTGAGTCCAGAAGTACTGGCAGAGCTGTACTTCAGATCCCCAGAGTTTGAGGTGATGTGACTCACGGTTCCAGCTAGGACAACTTTTGGAAATATGTGTTGAGGAGGTCACATGTTTGCTGTAACCAAAACCTCCTGCTGCTGTCACCTGTCAATCCCAAAGCCATATCCCATCTGCTCTGGCCTGGCTACTTCAGCTTTACCAGCACGGTCATGTCTAATGAACATCATAATGAGGAATTCCTGGGATTCCTTTGGCAAGCAAAGATAACACTGAAGATTACAAAAAAATTAAGGGGGTTGCTTTGGTTCTTAGGAAATTCAAAATCCTGGAATGATATCCAAAAGATCTGTGCTTCTCAGCAAATAAGAGTTGCCAAGGGCAAAATGAGAAACCATTGTTATATCCAGCTCAGGGACGACGCATCACCTCTAATGAGGATTCTGGTACAACAAGGCCTTCAGAATCATTCCTGTAATTACTCTGCTTAATGTAGGAAAACATTTTGAGCTTGTTCCTGGTGGCCATGTGGAACTGTTTCTGCCTTGGAAGGAAAGTGCTTTCCAGAAGCTAGATGATTGTATGGCATTTGGTGCAAAACTGCTTCCCTCAAGAGTAGCTATAGCCTTCCCATGCACATAATGATCAACACATGACTTAGCAGAATCTCGAAAAGCCCTAAGATATAGAGAGCCGTCTGAGCACCAGAGAAGATGATTCATCACAGAGTCCTGAAGAAAAAATCCACTTAAAAACCTGAGAATCATGTTGCAATCAATATGTAAAGACCATGTGCCAGAACACCAGACCAGGAATCACAAACTCCAGGTGGATACRATAGCCTCAGTACCAGAGGCAAATAAAATGAGAAGGGGGTTGCAGGCAGGAAGCAGGGTAGGGAAGAAAGGAAAGAAGACKTRGTTGATGAAGACTTTGGTGGGTAAAAAAGCTGCAGCMRGGCTGGGGATGTGGCTCAAGCRGTAGCGCGCTCRYCTGGCATGCGTGYGGCCYGGGTTYGATCCTCAGCACCACATACCAACAAAGATGTTGTGTCCGCCGAGAACTAAAAAATAAATATTAAAAAAATTCTCTCTCTCTCTCCTCTCTCACTCTCTCTTTAAAAAAAAAAAAAGCTGCAGCCTTCAAGAAATCAGCAGTTGAAAAACTGTAGCAAGAAACCTACCATAGAAGGAAAGGAGCTTGATGCATAAACTCTCAATTGGGTTTGCTCCCTAGAGGTCAAGTCATTTTGGACAGCTTATTTTGAATAAAGACTTGGCTAAAGGCAGTGAGAAAAAATAAATTGTTAGTTAAGATCCACAATACCTGGTTGCAAGCAAAATTCTTTACTTGGGAAATGAAAAGGGTAAAGATAATGGGGAAGAAAAATTCATTCTTCATTATATTACCAAAAATGAGTGGTGGGGGGAAGGCTTTTCTCTTATTTGATGTAATTAAAAGAAAGATGAAGAGCTTAAGGAAGTTCTTAGGAAATTACAACCCAATTCCTYGTTAAAACTATGGTTTTAAATAGGTCTCCTAATTTCATACCTCACTTCTCTTTAATTCATGTCTCTWGACCCCTACAATTTTTTGTGCTCCTGTATTTTGTCTATCCATTCAGTGTCCRTGTTTTTCTCTATTTTACCACACCAGAACACACCCACACTTCTCTAGATTTTCCCTACTAGCACATAAGCTCAAAATCTCAGAGTCACTCCTTCAACAATCACTGGACATCCCCCTTCCCCCACATCTTCCTTGTATTGCCTCCAGTTGTTTCCTTCTCCCAMAGAAAGGAAAAAGAAACAATCAAGATGTTATTAAAATACTGGTAAAACAGTTTCTCAAATGGATGAAGAGAATCTCCTAAGGGTAWAGTTGATAAGTTACTAAATGTCGTATATGGAGAATGAACCTCTATTGCATAAGAAATTGTCTCAAGTGAACACTGACTAAAGGAAATCAGTTAAATAGAATTAATGAACCATCTCTTAATATATAATGTGGGATGCCGCAATAATTATTAATGTGGGAGTGTTCACAACCAACTCTCCTGCCCACAAAGAGAAGCCTGATCAGAGATGTTTCTACCCTCCTCCTCAGGTCCAAAGAGAAAGAAATATCACTTTCATTATAAARCAGTGACACAGAGGATGAAGAAGAATTTTTGAAGCCAAAAAGGCTGTAGAAGAAATTTTATTCCTGAGGGGGTGGTCAGAAGAGATGAGTGAGAGCAGCTGTAGTCATGAAGGAAATGGTGGAGAGGAGAGCATGTGTTAATATGGAAGCAACAGGCTGTTGGGTTGCATTAATATTGCTGAAGAGAGAAATCATGACAGGGAAGACATTTGTTTTCGATTACTTCTGTGGTGGATCTATCTTCCTTTAATGGAATTAGTTCATTAAAAAACAAAACAAGTGTGGCTGGAGCCGGGGCTCAGTGGTAACACACTTGCCTGGTATGTGTGAGGCCCTGGGTTTGATTCTCAGCACCATGTATAAGTAAATAAAAATAAATATCTATCAACAACTAAAAAATATTTTGAAAAACAAACAAACAAATAAAACAATCTGTGGCTCTCCAGTCTACMCAAGGCTACACATGAACTTCCCAAAATTACGTTAGATATTGGCTGGGTCCTTTTGCTATTTATTCTCTTGTGCTAAAGAATGAATATTCACCTATGTAGAAATTCAATCGTCATGTGCATATTTTAAGAGGAACATTTAACTAGGCTTGAAACAAACAGAGAAGAATCTGAAGCACACAGAAAAGAATGTTAGGAAAATATGTTGTTTTCAGAGAGCAGTAACACACGTGTGTGCATTCACACACACACACACACACACACAGACACACACACACACACACACAGTAGGTGGAGACAGTGACAATGCATGCAGGCTGAGAGTCCTGGTTAATGACACACACACTATAAGAAGGTGAGAATAAGAATCCACGGGTTGTTTTACAGCTTTGTTCTTTAACCATTTTTGAGCATTCATTATACAAGATTATTATCCACAATTTAACTTCTACCATACAGAAGTAGGTACATAGTAATTTATAAAAGATTTGTCAATTTTGTTACATTTCTGTGTAAGAAAAAAATGATTAAATTAGAGAGAAATTTCACAAGCATAAAAGTGCAGTTTTTTGATACTCTGTACTTTTTAAAATGCTTTCACATTTTTCTGTTGTTTTTCACTTTCTGTAAAATGCATAGGGCTTCTTTTGAGGAAAATATCTTAGCTTTAATTTTTCCTTTTTTGTGTTAGCCACTTTTTGCCTAACCTCAGACACTATAATTTCATTAACATTACATCATTTTCATTATCTGTACACAACCCTGTGTGATTGATTTCCTTGATTCTAATATGAAGTCTACTTTTTCTCTGATGAATGATTAATCTTGCCTGAAAGATTTCTTAGGAATTGATTCTTTAGTGTTTGGTAATATGAAATGCATTTGTGAAGTAGTTGGTTAGAAAATATTAAGTATTCAATCCTCCCATCTGTAGCTTAAGAAAAAGAAATACCTGTATATCCTTTAATCTCGTCTCTATCAATGTAAAAATTACTAAGGAAAACAAAATTTAGTTCTGAGCCATGGTTATAAATCATATTAAAGTTATAGTGCTTGTATCATTTCCAGTAAAAAAAATTCAGAAAATATTGAAACTGTCATATTTTGTCATACTATGCACAAAATAATCTGTTTATTTTTTATCTGAAATTCACATAGCTTTTAATTTTAGTGAAAAGAGAATATTCCTTCAGTTCTGAATGCCTTCACATTAATGGCAGGTAAGAAGAAAGCTTGAGGAATGGGCTATAAAAATATTATAATAAGGTAGCAGTGGAAGCTGAGTTAAAATGCAATACATGCAATACTTAAGGGGAATAAGACTGCAGGAACCATCTCTGTGTGCACACTGACACTCCTGCTCACAGCACAAACAGCARGATAAATCCTCACCCATTTTTGTTTAATTTAATTCAAATCCTCTATGTCTTTCCACTGACACTACTATTCAAGGCTTACAGTAAATACCCAGAATTACAGTAGAAGAGTACAAGTAATATTAAGGAGAAAATGTTTATGACACTGTGGCTAATGTTCAGCCAAATCACATGTTTTAGCTTTTCATTGCTGTGAGCAAAATACCTGACAAGAGCAACTTAGAGGAGGAAAGATTTTGGATGACAGTTTCAGAGGTTCAGTCCATGGTACACTGGCTCCAAAGCAGAAACATCAGGTGGAAGAGTGTGGTAAAGGGTGTGGTGGAGGAAAGTTGTTCAACTCATGGCAGCTGGAAAACAGAGAGAGGGAGGACGGGGCTGGGAAGAAAATACATTCTTCCAGGGTATGCCCCAGTGGACCACATCCTCTAATTTGGTCCCATCTCCAGTTGTCCATGCATCCATCAGTGGATTAATCCACTAAAGAGGTCCAGCCCTCATGATTTAATCAATTTCTAAAAGCACCACCTCTGAATATATGAGACTTTGGAGGACATTCTACATCCATACCATAACACACTCCTTCATATTTATCCAAAAGAAGTTGGATATGTTAGAGATATCCATGTTTATTTTAGCACAACTCACAATAGTACATTATGAAACCAAACGAGGTGTCTATCAATGGAAGAATGGAATAAAGAAAATATGGTACACAATCGAAGAATGAAATTATGACATTTGAAGGAAAATGGATGGAACCCAATTTTGAACAAAATAAGTCAGACTCAGAAGAATGTTGCATGTTTTCTTTCAGAAGTAGAAGCTAGAAGGAAAAATTAACAAAATGAAAGATTCCATGAAATTAGAAGGAAGATCATTAGGATAGAGAAAAGAGATCAGGAAGAAGGCAATRAGGAGCATGGCGGAAGCATCAGGGAGTGAAATCGATCAAATTATGTTTTTATGTATGTACAAATATGCTACATTGAAACCCCACAGTTATGTAAAATTAATATGCACCAACTAAAGAGTAAAAAAATAAACACACAATATCACACACTAATGATTCTCAGCCATGCCATATTATTAGAATTATCCATAAAGTTTTTAAAACTCTAGATTCCCAGCTCTACCCCCAAATGTTCCAGTTTATTACCTCTGAGGTAGAAGTCAAGCCTCTATATTTTAAAAACAATTCAGTAGGTTATTTTGATGTACAGCTAGGGTAGGGAAATACTTTTCTAGACATGTGAATGGAAACAACTGAATATTTAGAATGGAAATACGTTTATAGCATAAACCAGACAGAACACAGTCAAACAATTATTCCATAATAAGAAAATGTTTGTATTGTCTGAAATTCTTATCTGGCATGGTTCAGAAGTATTTCCTAAATTTATGAATAAAGAATTTCAACTATTTTATAGTCCTGCCTCCCCAAAGTCACTAACAAACCAAACCAAAAGCTTAACTGTTTGTGATAGGCAAAGGACGCTATGAGTCTTGGGAAGTGTGGAACCTACAGGCACATCTTCATCATAGTAAATAGCCATCATTGTTAAGCAGCACACTAAATGCAAGCTAACGTTAGCTCATGTTGGCCTCACATAACCCTATAATTGTTCTTATCCACACTTTACAGGTGAACCTGATTAAAAAAATAATAATAATAACGGTCTGCTTAAGTCCACCCAACAATTGAGCAACATAGCTTATGTTTTCCAGTAAGAATGATTAATTACAGTGACCACAGATTTTGTTCAGGTTTATTTGCTAATTTTACAATGTAACTTCTATGAATTTTATAGTTTATTATTTTATAGTGTGATGTTTATTTTGAAACTGGGTATGAAAATGAGTCATAGACACAATTGATGAGTAGAATTTTTTATCTTGGATCCTATTAAATAGTCTTATGGGATGGGTTAGAACTTTAAAGAAGCTTTAATTTGATTAGAAATGTTAATAAACCAACTCTTAAGATGTTTTCAGATGACTTTGAAATTGAATAAACTAAAACTTCTCTGAAGTCATAATACCTATGAACATTTTGAACTAAAAAAATTCCCAATCGTATTATTGAAGTCAAGTTTCCATATTGTTATCCAAAAGCATTTTACTGACACATTTCCCCAGACAATTTTTTGATAGATAATTGACTCAAGATGCTAAATAAATTATTTGTAATAATATATTTATTATTTAAATATGTTTGACAATGAACAAGCATATTATCAGACCAAAGTAACTTCTACTTAATGTTATTTGATGTTTCAACTCAGAGTAGAGGTTCCATGAAAGCAAGGATCTTGTGTAAATCATTTATGTTTGAATTTCCAGTGCATTTCCCAGAGTGGGTACCCAAGTTTAATTTGTTGGATTTAAACATGCTCTGCTTCTGAAAGTCAATACAATAAGATTTTAGAATCTGGTCTCTTCCTGGATTTGGGGGAAAATACCAAACTTTTCCACCTTCAGATTCTTTTATTCAAAAAAATAGAAACAGTACCTTGTTAACTAGGTTGTAAAAGAATTAATTTTTTAGATCCACATAATGTATTTTAAACAGTGACAACTTACATTAACTGTTGAATAAATATTAATAAACATTAACTGTATTCCTTGTTATTGCAGTAGGAATACTTTTTCTTTCCTATTTTGTCTCTTCTATGTTCATTATTTCTGAAGATCAAATGCTGGAGAACAATGCTCCTTCTGACAAATAGCTTATAAAACTTGGAACCAAGTAGCACTGCTAAAGATTTTACTAATGAATAGATTCTAGTGTTTCCATTCCTTCCCATGTTTAAGTCTTTAGTGATTAATGGGAATTGAGAACTAAAGTAAATATCTACCATTAGGAGAGGAGGGAACATTCTCACCAGGAGAATAACTTGGATGTTGAATCACCCCCTTGGGCTGTCTATACTAATTTCACTGGATTCACAGCTTTCTGCTTTATATGTGTGAATATATTCCAGGTGTTCTCAGTAATTATATGCTATGTATTTTGTTCCCAAGATTTCAAGTCTGAGGATGATATGATTAGAAGAGATTGCACAAGAAGTTTCTCTAATGTTTTGGTGGAAATTTTATGTCATAAAATACACTATTGCAATCACCTKCAAATATCAAGCTGCCAGTTGCCTAAGAACTGCAGTGTGTGCATGTGATAGGCCACTGAATGAATGACTAAAGCTCACAAATGTAATTGATCAAGGAGAATATTTATTGCAGAAGTGCTGAGCTTTCTACAATAAATGTACCTCTGAAAGGTTGTATGCAAATCGAACAACTTCAAATTGAATAATATAAAAGGCATTGGGAAAGCTTATTACTTAAATGAATTCCCTTGTGACTTTTCCAATCTAAGAATTCTTTTTTGTAGTATAATATATTAATCTTTTTGTTTAAAAATCAAGTTTTATATATTCAGATTTTTTAAAAATTGAAGTATACCTGCGCTAGAGGAAAAAAAGAATAACTGATTCAGGGGTACTATACCTGTTTTTTCTACATGGAGCATTCAAACTATTGTGTAAGAATTGAATATGGAAGTTTTGGGATATTGATTCTCCCAGACTCATGGATTCTCACATCCTGGAGAGTCCAGTGGCCTGGGTCATCTAGTTGAAAGCAGACTTATCTGTTTATGCTTATTTATCCCAGTGCTCAAAACAAATATTTTCTATTTGAATAGATTGTGAAACCAACTTCCTCTAGTAGCATTTTCTCTATCTTAAAAGCTTTCCCTATTCTCCATTTCTAGTCTTTATTTTCACCCCATTGTTTTCCTTAAACCATCAAAATTTATGATTACATATCACTTATACATTTTCTTGTTTAACCTCCATCTCCCTCAACTAAGGTGTAAGCATCCATGATATCATTTTTGCTCACCGTGGTCTTTTCAATTCCTAGCACATAGCAAGTACTTARTAAATATTGGCTGAGGGAATAAATGAATGAGAAAATTAATAAATGCTTGGGAATTAGCCAGTTCCCATTTACCCAGAGTCCTTTGGAAATAGTCCAAACTGACCTAGCCTTGAGCTTTCCCTCCAACCTTCTTAAAGTTTCCATACCTCTCAATTTGCTTCAACTCCATTGGCTTCTTGTTGACGTTTAGACACTTCAGTCCTCCTCCTGGGCTTGCTGTTCCTCTGGCTGGAGGGTTCTTCCTCAGCCCAGTATGGCATCGTTCTTCCCATTATTCAGATCTGTACATAAATACACCTTCTCTGAAAGGCTWTCCTGGACTCCCTATCTAAAATATCAGATCCCAATCACACCCCTTAAAGGTTTTTTTTCTTTTTCTTTTTTCTTTTTTTTTTTGTCATTATAGCACCCATAATGTATCCATTTAACTATAATATCTGTAATGTATCTATTTAACTATTTGTTGACTGTCTTAACTCCTATATAGGTCAAAGAGGTCAGGGACATTGTCTGTCCTCCAACAGTATGAATGAAAACCATGTGAGACACAGAGAATGTGTTCTTTCTTTCCTTTTTGCTTATATTGTTATAACATTAGTATTATCCCCAGCAATTGCTTTTACCAATAAAATCTTAGTTTGATTTAACCTTAATATATTTTTACCAAGTACTTTAATCATGTTATCTGGATTTTTATGATTTGTGTATTTAAAATGGTATTGTTCTATAACATCACAGATGACCTAAAACATATGAGGAGTTTGGAATCATGTTTTCATCACACAGAGCCCAACACGGAAGACCTGTCTGTTGAGTTTTCATACTAACTCACTTTTGTTCCAGTAATGCCAATATCATKTCTGTAATATAAGGAAAAATATTATAAGTCTGTGTTTCTCACAATTTGAATATTTTCTATACTTCATTTAATTTTATCACATCTTTCCTAAAGTTATAATTGATGTAAAATGAATATTAAGTAAAAATATGTATTTTCCTTTAAATGTTTTATGAGACCCTAATATTCCAAAGTACAAAAACAAATAAATTTTGAAAAGCAAATACCATGAAATTTAATTGTTTTTGATGACATGGACAACCAGTACTTTTAATCAAGATGGTTTCATTTATGGCTTTATACTGGAATTATTTGTGAAAATGTTTCCTTGCCTTCTTAGGTATTTGACTATGATTTTGGACTACAGGATGACTTTATGGGCTCAGCTTTTCTGGATCTCACACAATTGGATTTAAACAGGTAACTTTTAACTGTTTCAATATCACTCTACYTTATGCAGCTGGACCTGTGAAATAGAAAATGCCAGCCAATCTATGTTCTGGGTGCTGTTCTGTCATCTACAGCTATGAGTCTTCAGGCTAACAACCCTTTCTCAAGTGTYCCTTTCTCACCTCCCCAGTGGGTATAATAGCCTCATTCAATGACTATTCAACAAAAAAATTCCTGGACACCAGTTCTGACTGTAGTACTATGCTAAGAATGAGAATCTAGAGCCAAAAAGACATACTCTTCAGTCTCACAGTGCTTATACGGTTCTAGTGAGATGAAGAAGATTATAAATGTTGATCCTAATAGAAAATAAAATGTGTACTTTGCTTCAAAAGCAGTAACTCTCATCACCTGGATCTAGGTAGAACCTGATTTTGCCATCACTGGTTACCATCACCAGGTTGCTTTCACTAGGTTACTAAGAAGTACTCCTAAAATGGAGACAGATTGATTATATTCATTCAGTTACATTATCATTTTTGATTAATTATAAAGTTATTATTACTAATATTAATCATTCCATGCACCTAAAACAATGGGCATCATAGTTTTCAAAATGCATTTCAGCATAGAAACTAAGAATTGATTATATCTTAGAAGGAAAAAAAACAAATTTAAAACAGTGCTGAAATGGGTTACAAAGGAGCTGTTGAAATCTTCTTTGAAGTTTATAAGGAGAGGGAATTCCTGTTTTGAATGATCACGTGACATCCTGTGATAGGGATAATGGAAAGCAGAGATGCAGATTCATGGGCCAGATCATTTTCTTATCCTATAAATGTAGACGAGTGGAGAAACATGCATGAGAAATCCCACTTGTGTATATAGTGAGCAAGGTTTGAACACAGGGATAGCTTATTGGTCTTCCAATGGTCATTTTTGTCTCAGGTAAAAAGAACAGCCTTTACTGTATTTCTGACATGTTCTCCATCCCAACCCAAAGGCTAAGCACTGGCTTGACATAAGGGTAGAACTTAAGTGACTAGTGGCTTTGCACCTTCGTAGGATGCATGCTCAGTGGTCATATATGTGGTCCATGATGATGAACACAGCTCAAACTAGTATGGACTGTGCTGTTCCTTTACAAAGACTGCAATTACTTTCTCTGTAGACCTCTGCAAAAGGATATGCAAATTACTAGAAACTTAATCCCAAAGCATACATTTCTCTTGTTCTCTATTAAAGATAAATCATTGGTGAGAAATAATTTTAAATAGGAAAATATAAGAAAATTAAGAGATTATATATAAGCATCTGGTRTGGATTTTGATACATTACTTACTTTATGTAATTAGTTAATAATTACCTTCCCTTAAAACCATGTACACATCAAATTAATACTTTATAAACTCATATATTTTAGTATACCATTTAAATTTGTGTATAAATTAGTGGAATTTAGGTATAGAAAAGTGGATTATAATAATAGGCACATAGGTAATTATGCTACTATATTATGTATTAGTGTATCTCTTTGAAGAAAAATAATAAGCATCATAAATCAATTGCAAATGTTCTGAAATCTTTATCATGTAATCATAAAACATAATAAAATTTCTGTTGTTGTATGCACTCATTATAGGAGAAGGAATAAAATCAAATTGTTACACCATATATGTTTATATAGTATACATATATATATATATATATACACACATATATACTAATGCTTAATATATATATTTTAAAATAAAAAAACAAATTGTTAGTATAAAACCATAATGATTAGTTATAGCTAAGTTAGCATTGGAGCAATTTGCATCACAACTACTATAACATATGTATAGTATTATTCTGACAGGTTGTTTATGGTTCAGTTAAAATCTCTGACACCAAAAAATTGTTCACGTTTTTCATACTATCATTCTTTGACTTGATAAATAAAGGATCATGTGAAAATGCCTAGTATTATAATATTGGCATTGATAATTAGCTGTGGTTTTCACTCCTGATTGTATGAGAAAGTTATCTGCAGAGTTTCGTAAGTATATCRATTTTCAAGCCCCACCTCTGATACATAAAACCAGAATCCACAAGGGTAGAATTCAGGAATATTCACTTTTTAAAAGCTTCCTAGTTGATTCTGATATGTAGTCAGAATTGAACATTCTTACTTGGACCAGCCTTCCACAACAAGCCCTCTCCCCAGCWCTAGAATTCTGTACCAAAAATTAAGTTCCATGAAGACAGTGAGCTGATCTTGGGTTTTGACCACTGGTTTTTACCCAAAAACTAGCAGTGTGTGTCATTTAATGTATTTAACGTGCACTTTATGAACAAAACGTACACTGAATGACTGAACAAGCAAGGATACATTCCCTGCTGGCCCACATTTCAAGATTCTTTTGTTCCAAGATTCTTTTGTTCCAAAATTCTTTTGTTCGGTACTGTTTCACAGAAACTTAGGTTTATGGTAGGCACTAAACGCTGTATGTTCAACATTGATTGAAATATGCAACAAGATGTTACCTATGAATTGTCAGCAACCTTTTAGAACYCCACRAAGGGCAGAAATTTATCCAGTGAATTCAAGTCTATCAATTGATTTCATTTATTGGATAAGTTAATACATTGGTAATATTCTAATGATAGCAAATATTGTACCAAGAAGTAAATGAAGACAATAATTGCTTTTCTTTTAATAATAGTAAATTATTGATACAATATTTTTGTCTTATTTATTTAGTGACTATTCAAAAATCTAAATATTTTATATCACAGGTCCACAGATGTGACCCTAACTCTGAAAGATCCCCACTATCCTGACCATGATCTTGGAATCATTTTACTCTCAGTCATCCTTACCCCTAAAGAAGGAGAATCCAGGGATGTGGTAAGTTCCCCCACCCCCTAGTAAGAGCTCTTTCCTTGCTCTCACTTGTTCGAATGATGTAAGCCTTCTTTGGATCCAGAGGTAATAATAAAGAGAAGCTGCATATGAAAATCTGGCCTGTTCTTTGTTTCTGTGAGTATCCAGGGGATTGCTAGTCCATGCTTATTGTGTCTTTTTAACTCAAATTTCCTGTCCCATGCTCCAGATCAGAACCTCTTGTTGTAAACAAGGAACAGATTTGCATCATTTTTTATAATTTTATTTCTCAATTTCACATGTGTTATATTGTAGACAAATATTAGTGTTTATTCGGGGAATACATTTACAAGTGAATTGAAGATTTGGAATTCCACACTGAGATATCCAGACCCTGCTATTTTGRCTGTATTGTCAGGTGTATCATAACAAAGAAAATGAGGTGAAATTATAACAGAGTTTCTGCTTTCTGGTATTTGTTGACTGAATGATAAGTGAGTACTTTCCATCTTCTCTATGGGCTTCCATATSGATATGGCTCATTTTTCAGCTCTAGCTGTCTACTTCCTTGCACACCATGCTGCTATGAGAAACTAACAAGGAATGCAGAGGAGCCAATTACTCCCACACTGTTGAAGTAACGTGAAACAATATCAGGTTTGACCCACATCAGTATGCTTGCCAGTGCACTTTCTGCCACCACTTACCAGAGATTATTTATTAGATCAAATATGAATTCWTGTACCTGGGAACTACTCTGCTTGTAACACATTTTTGTAGTAGACATAATTTTTAGGTGAGTTCAAATACTCCATTTCATAAATATGGCTGTCTTAAGTTAATGCACTATTAAAGATAGTAATGTGGTCTGCGGAAAAAGTATTATTGACATTTTTATCAAGTCTGTAGGTAAAAACAGTGAATTTCAACCTCAAGTTAAGAACTGTTTTAAATTCATTGAAAAATTCACCCCTTCAATAATTACTTCTTTCAATTCTTCTTTAAAAGTTAAACAATGAGCTCATAAATTCCTATAGGTATGTAATATTTTGCTAAAAATAGGTTAAATGTCTATAGTCACCAAGGATATTTTTTTGTTTGCTTTTACARCAAGTATTACTAAATACCACCTATTGTAAGAACTTAGGTTTGTATGTGTGCAGATGCACTCATGTGCAGATGGAAGGGTGGGTTAGGAAAGGTTTTAACAGAGAACATTCAGAAAWGGAAGCCCATGATCTTAGAAGTAACCAGTCTGGGAGACATTATTTCACCCAGCACAAGTCAGTAAGTACATCCTAGCTGGCTAAATCCACATATAGAAATAAATTATAAATGTTTACTTTGTGCTTTATTTGAATAATCCTGCTATTCACCAAGAACCTACTGTAAGTCAGTTTTATGCTAGATGCTGAGGATACAGTAGATCTTGGTTCAGTGGAAAACTCAGGACTCAAATCATCACAGAAAGAAATGTAAAATAAACACCTGTTAAGTGCCACAAAGGAGGTACATGTTTCTGAAAGACCAACAAGGAAATTTTGTTCCAGTCAGGTGTACAGGGATTCTCTAAGGAAGATAAATAGAAACTGAAGTATGAAGTGTGAATAGTATTTAATAAGGTTTAAAAAGAAAACATAAAAAGTATTTCAAGCAAAGGAAACAACATATGCAAAGGCTCTGTGGCTAGAGAAACCAGTCTATATTACAAGAATTGAAAAATCACTGAAGCATGCTGGAAGGAGAAGCAAAAAGCATGGTCARTCATGGTGCATAATGACACTGGAGGGGAGGGAGAAGCCCCAATTGTGGAAAGCTCATTGGTCATGTTAAGGTTTGTGGTCTTTTCCCAAAGAGTAATGAGGAGCCATCAAAAGTTCTGCATAAAGGAAATGACACAATCAAATTTTCCTGTTGAAAATATCTTTGTACTTGCATTGTAGAAAACAGATCAAAAGGGTAAGAATGGATGCTTATAGACCAACGAGGAGGCTATTGCAAAAATCCAGGTAAWAGATGACAGAGGTTTACATTAGAACTGTCAGAGGCAGAGATGGAAGGAAATTGGCAAGTTTACCGGTAGGAGATAAAAATCAACAAACTTGATGACAGTATATTTCTGCATTGAGGTTCTTTGTTATGTTAATGAAKGACAGACAGCACTTCACAAACAAAAGTAGTGAGGTGCCTGAGGKTCTGTGTATCCCTAAACCATCCAAATTTGCAATATTATTGAAGATTGGAAAAATACAGCAGTTATAATGCTTATTTGCATGATTTGATGATGGATAGTCTACTCAATTTTTACATTAAAGGTATCTTTATTAAATATTCTAACATCAAATTGAGAGTTTGAGTTATCAAATTGGTAGGGAAAAAATCTTAACGGTGAAGCTACTGAGTTTACTTAAATCACACAGATATATGTGTCAAAACAGGAAAAACAGTTCTCAACATTATTTTCTTTTTAACAATACTTGCAAAAACACTTCAATCTCCATAGATGCTCAAACTTATCTTTATCTTATTCTAATTAGAATAAAATCATTTAAAACCATTAGAGCACCCAGGAGCTTCTTATCAATGAGCTTTCAAACATGAATACAGAAGAAAACAGGTGGGTTATATGAAACAGTTGTATATCAAAAGCCTGGTTTTATTCACCTTATTTTCTTCTTTTTTCCATTCTCCTTCTTATCTCTCTCCAGCCACATCCTTAACACAAAGTTGTCCTCCTAAGGGCCCTGTGCCATTTTCTTGACTAAATCCCATTGCTACCCCAGATGTTTCTGAAAGAAATCCTTTACTGACAGATATTTTTCATTCACTGCCCCACTTCATGTACTCCCCCTTCAGAGTCTCAGAGAGCAATGGATTTATTCTGCTGTGTGAACTGGGAAATGGTGTCTTCTTCCCTCCCATGCCATTACTGATTCTCCTCTGGTTTCTTTCTTTCTCATCAGAGAAGCAAGTGACTTAGCCAGGACTCAGCAATGGTTGCARTCCATACCAGAGCCAGCTTCTGGCTGGGGCCATACTCACACTGCCCAGCCTGACCTCAGTCACACCTCAGGAGGCAAGGAGAAAGATGACCAGTGAGGCTATCCTGGCTCCCCCTCATGGGTTTAATCCATAGGTAGGGCAGGATCTTGTCTGCAGAGAAGCAAGCTGGGACAGGAAAGGGGAAGAAGGACAAAAGATCCTCACAGAAAATTCTGCTAAGATTCAATATCCTAGCTAGTCTAATATCCTAGWTTTGAGTCTGGGTTTCTAAGTGTTTGCCATCCATACATTATGAAAATTTCCAACAAATACATATAAATTTGTTCTGTTGTCATTGTTTTTTGTTTATTTGGTCTAAATAGAGGTTCTACAGCCACTTTTTTAAATGCTCTCAAACTAGTTATTACATCCATCAACACTAATTATCAAGTTTTAAAAYTCTGCACAAGGACCCCATATGTGTAGGCATCTATTGAAAAATAAACTATGATCCAATACTATTCCATCATAAGAAAGGATGAAAATCTATTGTTTGTAGCAGTATGGATGGAACTGGAGGCCATATGTTKATTAAAATAAGCCAGACACAGGGCTGGGGTTGTAGCTCAGGGGTAGAGCACTTGCCTAGCACAGGTGAGGCACTGGGTTTGATCCTCAGCACCAYAAAACAAACAAACAAACAAATAAAGAATATAAAGGTATTGTGTCCATCCAGAAATAAAAAATGTATTTTAAAAAAATAAGCCAGACACAAAGAAGATAAATACAGCATGGTTTCACTCTAATATAGGACCTAAAAAAGTTGATATCAAAGAATTTGAGAGAAGAACGGTGGTTGCCAGAGGATGAGACAAAGSGGGGGAGAGAGATGGAGAAAGGTTAATCAGTGGGTACTTAGTTACAGTTCAATAGGAGCAGGAAGTTCTGGTGTGCTCTTGCACAGAGGGGTGACTATAGATGACAATAATCTACTGCATATTTTTTAAAAGATGCAAGAAAGAATTTTGATTATTTTAGCYATCAATAAATGGCAAGTGTTTGAAGAAATAGGTAAGCTGATCCTGATCTGAACATTAAACATTTGTGTGTATGTGTTTAGAAACATCTTAGGGGACCCATAAGTATGACAACTTTTAAGTGTCAATTCAAAAAAACAAAAGGGAAAAAATCCAGTTACTGCTCATTTACTAAGCATTGTGCCAGATTCTAGAACTCTCCCTCCTCCTCCTGCTAATTGTTCAATGACCTGTGACTGCTTCTCTAATTAAACTGAAATTCCTGGTCAACTTTAAGGCTTTCTGACAAAAAGCATAACTTCTGCACTTGTAACTTGTGTCTCAGCCACACAAACTTCTTCAAAGTCACTTGTCCTTCCTAAAATATGCCTACACTTCAACTCASCTCTATCTTCTATCCTATCATCTTGGGGAGGGGATATATATATAAATATATATAAAATTATTACATATAATACTTCTCATGATAACTTCTATCAAAATATATCAAACTTTCTGTAYCATGTTGTTCATTGGGTTGCAGATGTATCTCTACAAGAATCAAAGGGATACTTCAAAGGACCAGGGGATAGTATTTAAAGTATTTTTATCTTATTTCAATATACACACCCTTCGGATTGTCACAAATTATATTAAATTATGATTTAGTAGTTATTTAATTTTCTCTTGTAAGTTCTTAAAATCGTTAACACATTAAATGATAATCTGATTAAAATCAAGTATATGGCTCTTCCCAAGAGAAAAGAAATGATTAGAAATGATGACAGTGAAKTGTAAATACATCACTGTTTTTTCTTCATTTTATAATATGTCTAATATTAGCTAACTATGTTTTTCTGGGATAAGTTTGAAATTTCTTGGTTAAAGACAATCAGAGATCCAATTTGTCTTCAAATTAAATTATCTTATGCCTTAAATATATAATGTATTGCTTCGATGAAAAAGGCATATTGAACTTTTACAAATTATCCATGAACAAATCTTATTTAGAGAAATTCAATCTCAAAATGCACCAAATCAGAAATCAGAATGCTTCACAATGCCATTTAATATGAATGATATACAGAGAAGAAATACAGGATGAGTTTGCATTGACCCTCATATAGCAAAATTATAAGAAGAGTTCTGTTCTCTTAGATTATTAGCTCAGAAATTATTTTAGGCTTTTGAAACTGAATAGTTCAATTCAAAAAACACATATTGGGATTGGGGTTGTAGCTCAGCACTCATCTACCACATGTGAGGCACTGGATTCAATCCTCAGCACCACATTAAAATAAATAAATAAAATAAAGGTATTGTGTCCACCTACAACTAAAAAAAACTTTTAAAACTGAAAATCATAGTAATAATAAACTGCATGTTTATTTTTATGCCTGTGTTTACAAAACTCTGGTAAGTATTTATACATATTAAAATGGAAAAATGGAAGATATGAGTTTAAGACCCTTTAAATCCTATCAAATAAGAAATACCATTTACATTAGGAAAATGTTATTAAAATTAGAAAGAGAGTAACTGGAAATATAGAGTAGTCAGTAATACAAAGTGCTAAGATTTCTAAATCAGTTATCTTGTGAGTTTTTTATGCACTGTTAAATACTGACAATAGGTTCCATGAATAATGCAGTTGGGATGATTTCTTGTGTGGATTGCTACTTCTGGAAATCAGTAAAATTAAAGAATGAATTAAAAAACTTATCAGCCTACTGAGTCTACCAAAGCCTTGACAACTTGCAATGTCTAATTTCAGCAATTTGAGAAGTATGATATGAGTAATAGCAAATGTATTACATAGTTGCCAATATTAAAATTTTCTCCATTGACTTCTTTTTTTAAAAAATCCCAGATGTGAAACACACACACATACACACACACACACACACACACACACACACACACATACACTTTTTTTTAAGTCTCCAGCATTGTGTGTACAAGAACCCAAAACCTTCATGGGGGGCATGCTGATGTGTTGCATGGCACAACTGTCATTTCTGTTTTGATTGCATGTTCTGTTTTCGAACCTGCAAGGTATGCAGTTCATACATGTGTGTCCTAAATATGGTATTTCTGTCTGATAGTGTGTTTGAGTTCTTTCTGGCTCTTTTTCTAGCAGAGTTCAATCCACAGCTTTCTTCATTGGAGAATTTGTGAAATAAAAGTGAGTTAATTTGTGTTACACACTCTCTTAGATAATGGAGGCATACAAATTGCTTGGCTAAGGCTAAAAAGTTAGAAAATTCAAAGAAACATATGGATTGGTCCTAGTTGACCTTTAATGAATTTTAAAAACATATTTTTACTTTAGTTTAATTTTTTATTTTTCAGAATTATTATCTAGCCAAAATTTGGACTACCTGCAAAATAATTAAATATGTTTTATAAAATGCATAGACTAATAATTCTATAATTTTTGTTTGTATGTTAGCTTTATAATTGCCTAAAAAATATCACCACTACAGAAGATGATAATGGAAAATGAATTGAGATTTGGCATCTTTTAAAAATAGTCATTTCTGCAGCTCTATCAATAGCTATTTTATGCTACTTATTTCTTTTATTTGTTTCAAGGAAGGTTGAGCTGCTAATAATTATTAAGTTTAATTTTAGATACTGACACTTTCGAAAACAAATTCATATGTTTCTCAGCTGAACCTAAGATCACAGAGCAAAAAAAAATTTATTTTTCTAGAATTTGCTTCATCTCTTATCTTTAACATTCCCTGATCTTTCTTCTCTAACAGATGTCCCAGATAGCAAAGATAACAGTTTTAATAGTATTCTATTAAACTCATTTCCTTCTTAACATTTCTATTGTTTTTAGTTTTATTGAATCTATCTTAATCCAACTTTCTAAAAAGAAAAGGGAACCTGGAAACTTAATCTATTACTTAGCTGGTAGGATTGACAAAAGTGGCAGAAATTTTGTTATAAAATCTGGAGCCATTGTGAGAATCACTTGACTCTAATAATGTAACTTTAGACACTGAATCAGGAAAATAAATGGTCCTGATAACTGTCAAATCTTTTGTATTTCAACTCAAGGAATTARTTGAATTTTTTTCTTGTATCAGTTTTCCAATTCTGAAAACTAAAGTCACACAACCTGTTCATAAAACCCATTTTGAGAGATAGGAAAAAACACCAGCCTCATATTTTCTTTTACATGTAGAAATTAGTCATATGCAGTACTCTGAGTCAGAGGAGGTAACTCTGCCCAGCAGTATTGAATCAAGTGTTGCCATGAGATTCCATTCTTCCAATATCCCAAACACTTTTTTCATAGCATAGCACTTCTTACAGAATGGAATTGCATAAGATTCTTAGATGCTAGATGATGGTGGTTAAATAATCATGAGTGATGGGGTTTAATTCTCACTTGATTTAATTTAAAWCATTGTCTCTAGAAATTATCATGCAGTCCACTGAAACTGTGCTTTCTGAGAAAGTTGAATATTCATTATCTAACTCTTAATTAGACAGTTTTTGTGAATATGGAATACATTAGTTAATTCAGTTTCCAAACGCCTTTTGGTGGTGAAGGATGTGGTGATATTGGGTGTGGTGACGTGGATGACTCACTTAACATCAACAACAAACACCTAACATACGTCCAAAGGAGATATATATATATATATATATATATATATATATATATATATATATCCACAACCCCATGATGGAATTTTTTACTTCAAAATGAATCAGACCTTAGTTCTTAGAAAACACAAAATGTCCCTATAATAGTATTTGATAACACTGCTTTGCAGTTTCCTAGATTCATTTGAAGAACTCATGGGTGAGTATTAGAACCTTAGGAAATCTATTACTCTTCCATGTTTTGGTCAATATTTAACACAGAGTATATGTAGAAAAAAAATGCCCTATAAAGCCATTATCTGCAAACAAAAGATTTTTTTCATTATATTTGATAAATTTATGATTTTCTTATTTTCAATCTTAAAACCTCTACATTGTTCCATTATCTTGGTGCAGGGCAAGGGTTGCTTTAGTCTTATATTAAAATCTTGTCTTCGTTTTTTGTTTTTTKTAATCCATGAATGGTTGCTGAAACAGCCCTCCTTTAGAGTGAATTCTGCTGAAGGAGATAGAGTTCTTAAAAGCACCAGTATACTTCCTTGGTATACAAATACAATAAGCATTTTCTATAAGCTATAATTCTTGCTTCAAATATTCCCTATTCTCTACTTCATCTGCCTCAAAGATAATGATAAAACTAAGACAGGGTAAAGAGGTTAATYAGAAAGGTTAAAAACTTAAGGTTCACTGAGAAGATTTTAGTATAAAAGAGAAAATAATTTTGAAAGTCTTTGGACTTCATGGTTTACTTGATGCAAGAGACCAATGATCTCAGGCACTCATCACAAATCTCTAGAACTTTGATTAAAACATTTGCCCATGAATACCTCTTAGTATGACACAAACCTAAAGCTTGAAGAGTAAGTTTGGATTGAACAATGAGCAGGAGATGCATGTGTAGCCAGCACAACAAGCAGCATTTCCTTAATAGAAAGCATTTTGTAGTCACTGAGAACAAAGATTAACCAGATGCAGAGATGATTCTAAACTGTCACCAAAGCCACAGATTTTAATTGTGTTTGAAGAGAAAAAWTATTATATATCTAATAAAGCCAAACACACTTCAACTCCCACCACCAAAAGGAACAGTTGTGAATCATGAGATTCAGTGTATATTTTCAAGTTGATAGCTAAGGAATTTCAAGTTTCCACTCTATTTAAATATATTGTCCCATTTCTTCATTAAAGAATAAAGCAAATGAACTCTTACCAGAAAGACTGCTTGAATGTTAAAGGTGCTGCTCTAGCTATGTATATGTGAAAAACATTTTTTTGTCTTGTGTAGTTGTTGCTGAAAACTGTTTGCTGTTTAAGAAGCTAATAAATGTTATGCTTCCTCTAGAAAACAGTGGCTGCCCTATTCTTTACTAGAGTGAAAAGATAATGAAAATGCTTTATTTCATTTACAGACAATGCTAATGAGGAAGAGTTGGAAAAGATCAAGTAAGGTAATTCTTAGCATGTGATCTTTCAGCTTTCTTGTTGAGAAGACTATCAGCTGCTTCCCCAAACCCCTCTCATACTTCCTCAAGCTATACCACAGAGTCGCATCACTATTCAATTGTTATTTTTTTTCTCCATAAACTTTAAGCAAATCATGCAATGCTTTCCAAATGAACAGAAATCACACCAATAAGAGCATGTGAATCATTYTCCTGTTAAATTCTGATCACTTCTCAGCATCATCCTCAGCATCTGGTCTCTATTAAATGTACAACAGGGTCTAGAAAATCACTTTGCTCCCAGAATGAAATGATGAGGTGAGGACAGGGACAACTCCAGACAGTTTTCAATGATCAAAACCAGTAAGTTTTGTGGATCTTCCTTCTGAGTATGAGATTTTTTTCTAAACTCAAAAAATCACTGTATCATGACTTTGGAGTGTATAATGAAAACAATTTTTCTTCATTGTCTTTCTCACTTCAAGAAATACATGGATCTTGGGAGTGAGGGGAATTTATAGTTCTTGCCAGGTACCAAAAACCCTGGCTMTCTCCTTAAAACTTGCCAGACACGTAAGATATATACTGAACTTTTAATTTATTCAGTGGTGGTACCACTTTTGGTCATAGATAAATATAAAGATTAAACTGAACGTTTAAATAAATATATCTTCCAACAAGTCAAACAGATTTCATTTAYAAAAACTGCACAAATTTCTACTTAAAATGTTAGTATTCCTTTTTAAATAATGACTAATTTTTTTAGACCCTGGAACATGACAATCTTTTTTCTTCCATTCTGATTGAATCATCCTACTACTTACATTTTTCTTTAATTTTGTCATTTTTATTTTGTTGTGAATTAAGAAAATACTTTTGTTAATTTTTAATATTTGTGATAATGGATTAATCTGTTTCAACAAGTGTTTCTTAAGTATAATTTCTCTCCAATTCTTATAGCATTGATGAACAAAAGATAAGTCACAAAAAGGTCAGGTCCCCAAAAGTGCTTTTTAAGGAAGTTGCTGAGTATTTCTGACTTGGCATTCACAGTGTTTTTATTAAACAAAATAAAGTTTCAAGAAATTTTTGTACTGTTCACATTTGTTACTTTTTCTTTGTAATTATATTTTAAAATAGTATTATATTAATAGTATATGTACTTTAAAATGCATATAATTTGACTTTGTTATTCTATATCTCTGATGATATATTTGTATAGAACCCAAAACAATCCATTAATAATATAGTCATATTTCTTCTTCCAGATGAATTTAACATGTAATCCTGGAAAAGAGTTTGACCTAGTATTTAGTATCAACTAGTGGGAATTATCCTGATTGATTTTAATATAAAAAAGAATAGAAACATGGGGCTGGGGTTGTAGCTCAGTGGCAGAGTGTTTGCCTAGCACTTGTGAGGCACTGGATTTGATCCTTAGCACCTCATAAGTATATAAAAAACAAAACAAAGGAATTCTGTCAATTTACAACTACAAAAAAATTTTTAAAAGTATAGAAATATTCTTTTTAAAAATACATTTATTTTGTGTTTAAATTTAACCTTCAGGAAAAATAAACATATTTTCTTTCAGTCTACAGGAAGATTTAAAATGTATAGTAAACATCTACTTACCATTATTTTTATATCTAAACTTGGAGTTTTTATTGTTAATAATCCATTTGTACTTTCAAAATGGTATRTTTTTCAAGCTTGTCACTGAAGATACAGATTCCCTGTGTCTAACCCAACACTCATTTGAGTATTTGGCAGTTTATATTTAGTACCGGTGTTAATATTACTTTGGGGGTTAGTCTAAAGGATTTTCAATTTGGTAAAATTTAATGGGGATATTGAATGCTGAATGAGTTAAAATCAGTTTGCTCATTTCATTTTCTTTTTCTATGAGAACACAAGGAACACTTGCTAACTCACTCATTCAACTTTTCACAGTACCCTAAAACATTTGCCATATTTATTATAATGTTGTAATTAAAAATTCCGGCAAAATTTGACATTCAACTACTACCTCTACTTCCTCGTTCACCATCCTTCACACAGACTACCAATTTGTAACTGCTCCCTGAGTCCTGCAGTGAGTTATGCTTCCTGGGAAACTGAGGGAAAAGTGACTAGACTGAAGTTTATAAATGTTACTGTTACTTTTTGTAGAAATGGACCTCTTCTCTAATTATTTCAACATTCCCCTTGAAGAGTCTCGTCTTATAATTTTTTTCTCTTTTAGTTTTGGAATTTTTTTTCATTACATTTAAATACAGGTATTTATACTTGATATAACTGTGTTCAAAATCAAAGGTGAATTTTTTATATAAACTTAAATCATGTTCTTCTTTGGAATTCTGATTTACAGGAATGAGGTCTCCTGTATTTTGATGCAGGACTTTGAAATGTAGCCTGACTTTGAGCATCATTTAAGGATATAAAATCTGAGAATTAGAGATTTTGTAGCAAAGACTTAAATTCAGCCAGGAAGAGTTGCTTCAGATTGTCGATAGCATTTTGACTGGGTACTTTCAGAAAAACATAACTATAGAGGGAGAAAGCTAATTTGATGTTACTTTTAATATGCAACTCTTAGAATTTCCCATTACTTACATGTCTTCTTATCATTTTCATCATCCTGAGTTTGGGTGATGAGATTTCTTTTTGCATTTTATTTATCTCACTTCTGCCAATAATATATTCTTTTTTTTTTAGAGAGAGAGGGAGAGAATATTTTAATATTTATTTTTTAGTTTTCGGCCGACACAACATCTTTGTTTGTATGTGGTGCTGAGGATCGAACCCGGGCCGCACGCATGCCAGGCGAGCAAGCTACCGTGTGAGCCACATCCCCAGCCCAATAATATATTCTTTTAATGGAAATTTTATTATTTATGGCATTCACATAATGGGGTTTGTATTTACTATTGAAATCATTAGMGGAGTAGCCAGCTTAAGGAGAGAGAAATTATAATTGCTGTTCAGGACTAACTTATTTGGAGTAAATGTGTTATCACCTAAAAACAAGTGGTGGGGGGAAGCTCCTACACCTTCGAAGAGCAAGAGTATGTGAAATATGTGCTGTATTTGAATGCTATGCAAATCAGTAAACAGTTATGAATTCCATAAGGTCTCCTCCTCTGGGAAAGGTAGCATCCTTTGAAACAGTCTGGTTTTCCCCAGGTACACTTTCCATCATGCACATTTTAAATTGTGCCTCACACTCAACTGTAACAGAAGAATGTTATTTTAAGAATAAAGGAATCAATTTATCCCTAAACTTGGGCAACTAGATAATTATCCTGGTCAAAGRGTTACACTTATGTGACGAACTGCATTTTGGCAGATAAATGCAATACTTTATTCTTTAGAAGAAGCTTACCATTGATAATTTATTCTAAGGTTAAATTATTCATCAAGAAAGTTTCATGAGGTCAAAAGAGAAGATTTACGTGTATTTTGTGAATAAATTTTGTAAGATCAAGCCAAAATGGAAAAAATAATGAAATAATTGGCTCTATCAGACACCAAGCAGTTATGATTTTATACCATGTATGTATGTCTGTGTTTCAATTCAGAAGAATGAGTGTGTCCATGGATTCGGGTGATATAATAATTTATGTATTTCAACAAATTGCTTAAATTATCTGAGAAATACTATAGTGATAATATAAAGATATACATGTTCCATTCATGACCTTAGTAATAGTTTATAATTTTCTTTAAGAAAAAGTTCATCCTCTGGAAAATATAATAAAGACTGCTATGATGATCTCATTACCATATCTACTGTTACTTAATAGTTTCTTTCTTTTTTTAATATATCTTTTTATAACAACTTTATTATAATCACTTAGCATAACTTAAATGAACTATAAAACATTTTGTGCATTGGTTGAATGAAGCAATCTTCAACAAGTCTTTTTAGCAAATATATATTTTAATTTGAGCTAGAGACCACTCAACTTTAAGTTGCAGGGTGTAGTTAAACCTGACACTTTGGGTAACTCATTAGAAATGCAGTGGAAACTCATAAGTGYTTTAATTTAAGTGAGGGGAAAAAACAGATTAACACATTTTTAACTATCTCACACAATCAGATATACTGGGGGGGGGGGTTAAGGTATCATTTAATAATTACCAGGTCCTTCCTACAAAGAGTTCAGATCCTGACAAAGAGGTGATTTTTTTAAATCTGCAAAAAAATTAACAGTTTATTGGTAACATACCTTCTCAACCAGGAGTGACCAAAATGGTTTTCTTTGTTGCATCATTTCAAATTATTATGCATATATCTTTGAAAAAGTGATATATGGTTATTTGTTTTTGAGGGAAGCATAACATTTTATTTAAAATTTTTTGCTTTGCCATTATTTTTACTTCCAAATCTGTGTTATTTGGAAATACTGTAAATTCATTCTGTAATTAAGACTTCTGAGAATCCAATCCAACAAATGGTGAACAATTGAGCAATTATGATGGAGAATATTTTGACCCTAGTTAACCAAACTCCTGAAATTTGTAGTATGTTTATTTAAAACAAGTATTATTGTAATGCCAGTAAACATTTAATTATCCCATAAAATACATGGAGCCATAATTAAAATTTATGTTGTGATGACTTTTTTTTTGCTGTTTTGACAATACTTCCCCAGARGCACAAAATTACATTTTTAAGTATTATGATTCATAACTACAGGGATTTGCTATAATGATGGCATTATATTTATTTGACCACTTCTGTTGAATTTTTAAAATATTGTGGGTCCAAAATGAGTTGGCACAAAGTAAAAGGACGAAATATAATCTCAAGCAGAGGATGGATTCTACCACAACCGCGATCTAGGTCTATCTTGGTGTTCAACGTGGGATTGCAGAGGAGCTGTCACATTATAGGAGTGTAACCAAGTTTCCCAGGGTCGTTCTTCCCAGGCTGATAAAAGGGGGAGAACTAATGTAACTGGGCTCCACATAATGGAACTAAGAGCAAGTTCTCAGATTTACATGGCCTTTTAGTTTAAGAAGAAAGATGAGATAGATTAAGTTGAATTCAACTAAGAGGAGATTTATGAATTTTAATGTACTTTGAATCCCAGTGAAAATAATTCATAATTTTGTTAGGAGCCTGCTACCAAAACCTTGGCTGACATAACTGTTGATAGGGCTTAGTTGATATCATAAGCCATTCTTATTGATAATATGGAAGCATCCAGTAGCCATGGTTTTGATGAACAGTGATTCCAGTCTGACCAGGAAAGTTTATGTAAATGATTTACTCAGGTACTTACTTATTTTTTAATCTCTTGAATGCCAAATGATTTTTTAAAATTTATTTTTTAGCTATATGTGGACACAATATACTTGTTTCATTTTWATGTGGTGCTGAGGATCAAACCCAGTCCCTCATGTGTGCTAGGCAAGCACTCTACTACTGAGCCACAGTCCCAGCCCGCCRAATGATTTTTATCAAAAGGAATTGTGCTCATATAAAAGCACACTCATATAAGCAGGAAGGCTTGCTGACTAGATTCTTATACTTGAATTCCAAGGTTTATAGTTTCAAATCTATTATGATTGTCTTGAATTTTGAAGAATGAGTGACTTACAGTACTATGTGATATGTTTAAAGGCCTGTACACATTAAGGCTAATTTGATTCTGCAATAACTTTCCTATGTGCATTTATGAAAATACTCCAGTGACTCTCACCATCATGAATATCCACAAGAAATTAATTTTTTAAAAAAACTATGGATAAATGGCAGAAAGAACAATAGAAGAAAGAGAGCAAGGAGTAGGGAGAAGGAAGGGGAAGGAGAAGTACTGGGGACTGAATTACAACTAGATATATTCCATTTATTTATTTATTTTTTTAAATGAAAGGTCTCACTAAATTGATGAGGCTGGCCTCAAACTTGCCTTCCTCCTGAAGGATCCTCCAAAGTAGCTGGGATTACAGGTGTGTGCCACCTTGCCTGGCCAAAGTATCACTTTTAACATAACTTTATTGACTAATCCTTGTTCTATCTAATACATATTCTGAAGAGATTTCTGTGATTTATTTTTATGTACAACTGGAAAATAGTATCTCATTAATTTGTTAGGGTTAGGAAAACTATCCTTTAGTTTAATTTCCTTGAGAGTAAAAATGTTATTTTTTAGATTTTTAAATTCAAAATATAGTTAATTTTTAGACCTATGGAGGCAAAAAAAATAGATCTAAATAAGATACTACCAGTGGATSTTATTCTAATAAATTAAAAACCTCAGTACAAGCACTCTGACAATTCATTATTTGGAATATTTTCAGGAATTTTCCTTTATCAATTTGATATCTATATTTTTGTTCCCTTTTGATGTCACTTTATAATTTTAGAACTTTTAAAATGGCAATTTTCCTCACTTATTTGTTTCTTGTCTTGATAAAGATGGAAGTATAACTGAATATGTATCCTTACAGTTTAGCCCAAGTCTTTTCTGGAATTCATGAATGGTTTGTGCAGTTTTCCTTGCTCTCTATGTTTAAGTCGGCACTTTTGTTTAGGGTGCATTATCATAATGCCAGGTGTTTTGTTGTCATTATCATTAGAAACTAGTAAAAGGAGAGACATGGTTGGTCTGTTGAAAATTTCATACCCATGCAGAGCAAACATGGTGCTAGAAGCCACAAGAAAAAAAAAGAATAATAATTGTCCATCAACAACTAAAAAAAAAATCTTTAAAAAATATCCTTAAACAATTTTACTTTTTATGATAAGACTCAAAGGTATATTAATAAAAAATTAATAATAAAAAGGTAAGTGGACTTGCTTCAAACTACAGAAACAATCCTCTCAACTTTATTACCACTGATGTCAGAGATGAATAGGATAAAAACTTTGATTTATTCACAAGAGAAGGAAACTTGGTTTCTACTATCCAATGGATCTCCAGGATATATAGATTTTGTTTTTAATTTTTATTTGATTTTATTTGTTTTGATTTTGAATACTAATTAAATATTCCAAAAAAAACAACATTTGGGTAAATATTTGTTTGTTTTTAGGAACTCTCAGAAAATGAAGTGGTTGGATCTTATTTCTCTGTGAAGTCTTTCTTTTGGAGGGTAATGTCTAAATCCTTTATATTAACATTCTTGATTTTTGTTCTACATAGAAATTTTGAAACTTGAGTGTGAATTAAGAAATTCACTTTTTAAAATAGGCTTCCAGACAGGTGTATTCATTTGTCTTCTTTATTAAATTTTATTCTAAGTCCTCTAGATAGCTAACTCTTTTATTTCTTCATTTGAAAAAAAAAAAAACATTAAGAACTTCATGTATTTGAAAACTTATATCTTTGAAGTTAGTTCCTTGTGAGACAAAGGCTGTTCCAAAGAGCTGGAACCCCAGAGGCCTTCCACCTTGGAGATTATTTTCTGCTTCATTTCTGTTCAAAAAAAAATTTACTTGTGTTACATTGATCTTATATAACATATACACTTGATCTGTACAAGATAATCAGTGCCCTTTCTTTGAGGAAAAAAAAAAACAAACCTCTATGATTTAGAAAACATTAACTCTGATTTTGATTGAAACAAAAAAAGGTGAAATTTCTACCAAATTAATTTTAAATGCCATTGCAATTTAATTTACTCTTCAATTATTAAAGTCTTATGAGCTTTGTCATACATTTTTTTTCTCTGCTATTATTTCTGCATCATATGCAGCATGATTTACTATTAATACACTTAATTTAACTTTGCCTTTAAGAGTGTCTCTCTTTCTTTGAAAATTCACACTTGGTACATGATTATATAGCAATAGTCACTACCATGGAAATGCTATAATCTTAGGGCTTTGCTATTTTCCTTTCTTGGCTCTCAAATTGCTCATGATTGAAAATAACCTTTTTCCTTAGAATTTTAAGATATGGTGCAGTGTTTCTTAAGCAGTCTGTCAGGTTCCAGATTAAGCTATGTACTGATCATTGAGCAAGTATAAATCAAGTCTTCTCATCCCTGCCTGCTTTAACACTTTTTTGCACTTTTATTACTGCAAGACTATTTCAGTGATTATAGCCTCTTCGTTTGCTTTCAGTTCACTGCCTTTGCTGAAGGTATTCTATACATATGCTGAAATAATCACAGTTCATCTTACATGTTCATGCAATGTCCATGATCACAGAAGCTGCTTTTGAGTCATTCTATGACCTGAAATGGAAAATGGCTTTTTGCAAACATTTTTCACTATCTATTAAGTTCCAAAAATGTGGTGTGAATTCACATGGAACACTTATTTGAGAGCAGGATTTGAGGGTGTTCTGTGTTCTGTTTGTTCTCTATGCAGCAAACATGCAGACTGGYAATTAGTGTAGATTTGCCACCAGTACCAACTCTGTAATTAATACTTTTTCAAGTCTCCCTTTCAAGTGACTCTTTCAACATCTTCTTCCGACTTTGCTGTTTCTAAATTAGTCTTCCATTTATCAGTGCTTTCCATTTGATTATATTCATCCTTAAATATTAATAACCTTCTCAATTGCTTAAACTGTGTAATTTAAGAATAACAAATATACAGGTTTAAACAATAGCTGTTTTGTGTCCAAGGTATAGCAATAATGCTTTTTCATGGGAAAGCAACAACAAATGAGTGACAAATGAATCGAGTCACAAACAGAATATGTGAGGGTCATTTATTTTACCAGTGAGGAAACAAAGGCCCAGARAAATGATATCAGTATCATCAAGTAGTCAGATGGTGTGATCAGAACCAATATGTCTCTTTCTGTGAATGCCACAGAAATAAATGTTTTTGAAGAACTCACACCAAAAGCATTCCTCTCTTGAGTAGATGAATAGAATTCGTGAGTAGGGAGAGCAGCTCCTCTGTTGAGGAGTTGCTGCGTTCAATGTCCCATTTACAAAATCAGAAAATTATTGGCCACAGCTGGATRAGTGTTATTTCACATATTCACATAAAAAGGCCACTCTGAAAACTTACCTTGTGGCTTTTTACCCAAGCAATATTGGTATTCTGATGAGCTTTTAGTGGGAATATATATGAAAGGAGGTTTCCCAGGAACACTTTCAGATATGCTCGGGAAAAAAAAAAAAATCTTGCATGAAGAGTGTAGGTGTGTTATGTAAGTTAAATGAGATTTGATTTGAAAGAAAGTTTTATCTGCTTAATTTATAAGTATAAATACATGTGTTCAAGAGATGGCAAATGAGTTATATGGAGTGAAACTAAATCCTAGCAAGAAGTCACTTAGCTGAAATGTCAGGGCTACTTGCTACATCTTAATTTTCTTGAGAATAAATTGTATCACTGTGATKATACAGACATATTCTAATTTTTAAAAGCATAACAGTTTAATTCATCAAAATATCATGTCTTAGAACACAAAACATTAAATCGTGGATATAACAATTACCATGTTTCTCATGAAACAATAAAAATTATGTGAAATCAAATCGGATTATTCTAAGTCAGAAGTTCATTAATTTAACTTCTCATTAAGGAGAATAACTTAGAATAGTTCTTTCAAATATTTAGCATGCTTATGTTTCTTACTATTTTCCTCCACCGAGCAAACATCTAGACACTGATCACAGAGTTAATTGCATGAATCATCATACAAGAACAATAAATTAAAGACAAATGTCAACATTTTTTAAATGGAAGCAGCTGGGATATTTCAAAATAAACGCACCTAAAAATGGAGAAGAGGATTATGCCAGGCAAAGAAGATTATATACAAAAATACAGAAAAATGGGAGTTATGTCAGAGCATCAGAGCATATCTTAAGGTCAATCAGAAGTGTTGTTGGAGGAAGACTATAGACTACGAGAAGAGTTGTCAACTTTGTAAAACAAAAAACGTGATCCTGAGATCCTGAGCTGTGCTGAACAACTCAGTAATCTATGAAATACCTCCCCAAATGGCCTGATAGTATTTCCATTTTTAGACATGAAAATAAGAGTCTCAAAACTATTTGCAACTGGGCATGATGTTGTACACCTGTTATCCCAGCTGCTCTGGAGACTCAAGCAGAAGGATTGCAAGTTTGGCCAGTCTGGGCAACTTAGCAAGACCTTGTCTCTAAATAAAATAATTTAAAAGGTTAAAGTGTAGCTCAGTGGTAGAGCACTTGCCTAGCATGCTTAAGACTCTGGGTGATACATATATATTTTTTAAAAAATTAAATTAAATTWAAAAATATATTTTTTAATTAAAAGTTTCAAAAGAAAATGTCTCTGTATTCAAACCAAAGACTATTATTCCTTTCCCTGTATCATTGGTAGAAATTTGCAGATTATTTTAACAAGCCAAGAAAATTACAATATATATGATGCTATTCTATAGGTATATACTTTGAAGGATACAAGAAATGTTTAAGAAATTTTGTTGATCCACARTTGAAGTTAGAGAGGGTAGTTAGAACACCTCAGGTAAACATAAAGAATTTCCTAGCACCACAAATTGTATAAAGAAGCAATAAAAAATACAACAGAAAATGAGAGGATAAAAATCAAGAGAACTTCTCTGAGGATTACAATGCCAGAGAGTCATCTTCTAAGAAGAAARGGATTGAAGCTTTATTGTCAGGGGAGACGCTTGGCATTCGTGGCACAAAACACTGGGAGGGCTTCTGCAGAGGCAATCCTGCTTGGAGAGGATGGAGGACTGCAGAACAAATCTAGTTGTTGGACTTCATCATCCAGGTGCAATTCACTGGAGTGAACTCTGCAGGAAAAGGAAAAGATAGGACATGCCCATGCCTGGGATTGAGCCAATAATTGCTCCACACTCTAGTTTCTGCAGCACAAAACAGTCATTCTTGGCTGTCATTATCTCTTTTTTTGTAGTGGTGTGTGGATCATTTGATTAAATAAAAGCTTGTGCTATCACTGGGCTAAAAATAGAGAAAAGAGCTGACTCCTCACATGCCTTATTGTAAACACACTTTTACTCCAGTTTCAGTGTCTGGGTCTCATTTGGAAGGATTAGTCTTTACACAGGTAATACAATCCAGGATAACAAAAGCCAAGGATCGTTTACAGTATCAGGGAGAGGATTGGTATAACTGTGCTCCCCTAGTCACATGTGGAGTCTAAATAGATTTGGTTTAGGTCTTGATTTATTTTTAAATCAGAATTTAGACAAATAGGATATATCCTATTATTAGTGGTCCAGTTTTTCAAAGAATGAAACTAGTAAATTTAAATAATAAGAGTGGAAATACAAAAGTGTCGTCAAGCTATATGCTAAATTGCACAACTTGAGTACAGTCAACTCTCATTTGCTCTACCAAATAACACATGTCAGTTATTTTACTTCCTTTAAGTCCCCATTTAGTTTTTCTCAACAATTTATAATCAGAATGTATTTCATCTAAATGAAAGACAAAAGCACTCTGAAAAACCTGTGCTGATTAATTATTTTTTCTTTCTTTTTTGTATCATAAACTTCACAGGTTATGTCCAAAAAATGAGGTATAGTGGGGGAAATCATAGGTTAGTTGTCAGTAACTCCACGATCAAATCTCAATTTTGCTATCCTCTAGACATTTGGCTTTGAGAAGGACATTTATCTTCTCTATGCCTCTGTTTCTTTTTCTTAAAAAAGGAATGTTTGTCATGAAAAACACTGGAGAATGAAAACTTCAGCATATAATAGCTTCTCAATAAATGTTTCTGTGTGACATAACCTATATTTCAGACGTCCTATCCAGTCCTCCCTGTTGATGTCATCAAAGCAATTGCTTCTCATCTCTTCATAATAATACTCAGAAACTCTATATCTGCTTTAGAAGTCCTTAATGCAAACTTTCAGCTCCATCATGATACCTTCCCTCCAGAATTTCAGCTTTACCTTTCTTAATCCATCTCTTACTGCTCTTGGTTTTAGTAGGGAAGGGATCTTTTTGTTGCTTTTCTTAAAATGATAACCAAGGCAGCAAGAAGATGTCTTATGTGAGACAAAATTCCTATTACTTTGTAGATATTTCTTTAATCATTACAAAAGATTTTCATGTGGATGCAAGGTTCACATGATCATAGATGGTTATTACTTATCTATGTAACATTTATTCTTCTTTAGACCTATCATTATTTTGACATTGGGAAAAAATTATTCTTTCTGTGATTTCTCTGATGGTGTTTATTTTCTGTAATGATTCTATTAACAAAATCCTGAAACCACTTCAGCAGGATCTATCACCATATAATCTTTGGGCTATATTTTCTTTAAAAAGTAGCTGTAACTATAAAGATGTCCTGGCGTTTATCTTCATTGTGCTACAAGACATTTTCTGATAGTGACTTGAGAAGCAAGTACATACTTTTCAAATAATATTTTAAAGTAATTCTAAATCCTAATCAAAATGAGGGGTTATAGTGGTGCAAAGATTTCCCATACAGCTCTGACCATTCATTTCCATCCAGACATATAGCAGGCCTGCTCTTGCTGTCCTGGGCTTCTGCAGAGCAGAACTTCAGAGTCCTTATTTCCAAAATGCACAAGTAAGTTCAACTGTTCAGTTCATTTATTTTTTCTGAGCTTGCATGAGCTGTGAATTATAAGGACTGACTTGTACTTAAAACTACTCCCTATTCTAACTTAGTTTTATATAATTTCTTTTATATATATTTAGATATATGTAGTGAATTTACATATATAAAAGAAATTATAATCTTGAATGATTTTTCAAGAAATAATATAAGTGAACTAATTGTCTTTCTTAAGTACCAGCTAACCAGTTCTAAAATCTTACTAAAAATCCATGTTATTGACTAATCGCTTCATGCTTTTAAATTTGTATTATTACCTGATATCTTGATATTCTTTATTAATTCTGAACTTAGATGGGTGTTTCTTATGAGAGTGTATTTCAGTCTTTGGTGTGTGTGAAAATCACATGGGGCACATGTTGAAATGAAGATTAGACTCTACCCCACAAGAACTGAATCACATCAGGAATCAGACCCAGTAATTTCAATACATGCACTGATAAAATATAGGAACTACTACCTTAGAAGTTCAAAGTTGGTATGTTTCTCTCTGTGTGTGTGTGTGTGTGTGTGTGTGTGTGTGTGTGTGTTTTGCTAGAGATTAAACCCAGTGCCTTGCACATGCTAGGCAAGCACTGTACTGCTGAGCCTCATCCCCAATCCAAATGGTTTCTTTTGCAGGCTTGGTTCTTCAGAAATTTAGAAACATGTCTAAAGAAGGACCTTAAATAGATTAATATTATCCATACCAGAGAGTGAATAATGTTTACAATTATATAGGAATTGCTAGAATACTATGAGTAAAAAACTGGTCCCTTTGTATTGCAAGGGTGGGGTGGTGGGATTGGTTCCAACTCTCCTACCCACAGTGGATATCAAAATCTCCAGATGTTCAAATTCCTTACATAAAATGATGTCATATTTGTATAAACCTACGAACATCCTCCTATATGTAAATAATCTCTAGATTACTTATAATGCCTAACACAATGTAAATTCTATGCAAATGGTTGTTATTCAGTATTGTTTAGGGAATGATGAGGAAGAAAAGTGTCTATGTTTTCAGTAAAGATGCAATTTTTCTTCCTATGTATTTCAAATCCATGTTTAGTTGAATCCACAGATGCAGAATCCATGGATGTGGTAGACCAACTGTATTTAAGTGTATGCCTTTTCTACTATTGATAACCTAAGTTTATGTCTTGAAGATTTTATTTCAAATTTTCTATCTTTTATGCTTAAACTAAATACTTATCTGTTTAATGACCATGCATTTACTCATTACTATATGGTTATTTCATAAAATCCACAGCTGAATTATGGAGTTCTTTCTAGAAATGTGCCATTTTGAAAAAAAGTTATTGAAAAAAATCACTTTTAAAAAATATTCAATTACCATATTTTTGGAACTCTTTTTTTTCTTCTTCCTCTTTTTTTTTTTTTTAGCCCTTTGCAGAGGTCACCTCAATTTCCACATTCATTAGCCTTGCTTTTATGAGGGAACTCTCCTTCCTCCTGCCTGTTTTCCAAGTTTGGGGGAAATATCCATCCAGATTACAGAAAAGACTACCATAATGACTGATGGAAGTAGTCAAAGACTCCATTAAGCTCCTTTTTTTTTCTGTGAAAGCATGAAAGATCTCATGGAAAGCACTTACCTGTTCCCTCCTTACCCTGTTTGCATTTGAATTTTAAAAGAAAAAGGGGGGGTGTTAGTAGTGAGACAGGGTAAACAAGTAAGTGTGGTCCTWTTAAGAAAACCAATTTATCATTACTAATTGAAGATGATATGTAATCGAGATTGTACCCAGCTGCATTCCTTGTATAAATTCTTTTGGAAAAATACATAGAACATGGTACTAAGTGCCTTCTTCAATAAATTGAAATATTATAAATAAAAATACATGTGCTTATATGGTAGAAAAGTATAAGGTGCCTTCAGGAATTAGCCATATAGGAAAATATGTTCTAGAATGTTATTTCAAAATCAACCCACCTAACAGGGGAATACCACTTGGCAACATTATATTTAAATTAGGGCTACCTTTACCCAGTGCAGTCATGCATTCCTGTAACCTCAGCTGCTTGGGAGGCTGAGGCAGGAGAATTGCTAGTTCAAGGGCAGCCTCAGCAATTTAGCAAGACCTTGTCTCAAAATTTAAATAAATAAATTTAAAAAGGGTTGGTGATGTAGCTCAGTGGTAAAGTGTTGAGTTCAATCCCTATTACCAAAAATAAATAAATAAGTGTTAATTGTGGCAGCATTTAAGCCTATGAGAGAACCTCTGCCCTAAACACCTGTGTTGGGTGAATAAAGGCCATAAATACTGAGGTTCTGGTCACATGTTTACCATCTTTTAGCTCAACTACTCTGAACAGCAAATTCCACATCTAAAAAACGGGCAGAAGCCTCACCTTCCTCTTCCTGGGGATTTAGAGAAAGCCAAATGTATAATGAACATATAACTGCTTCTAAATTCTAAAGCTCTATTATTAATTATTTTGGTCTTTACTAAGATAACTATTTCTTTTTATTTACCATATTTGTTTTCCTTTTTTCCTCCTATGCCACTCATATTCCTTAATAAATGTTTCTGATCCAAAGTTTAAAACCTGCATTTCTAGGATATGCTGTTAGAGGCCATCTGAATATCAGCAGAGGTAGTTACATCAATAAATCAATCATCAATCAGTCAATCAATCACCACAACCTACTGCTGTATTATCTAGTAATAAATAGCATGAAATCTTAGAATGAAAACAACAAGAAGAATAATAACTTGGGGGGTTGGGGATGTGGCTCAAGTGGTAGCGCACTGGCCTAGYATGCATGAGGCACTGGGTTTGATTCTCAGCACCACATAAAAACAAAATAAAGATATTGTGTCCACCTAAAACTAAAAAGGAAWATAACTTGGCATCACTTGGTGCAACAAATTCTGAACAATTTTAATCGAGAACTTCTGTTTTAATCTGAGAAGTCTTTTGTTCAAACAAAAGCCAATGTGCAAACCCAATACCTATATATAGAATGAACAGAAGCAGAGGGAACTCTAACTGAAATGGGCAGAGTTCTGTGGAACTTTTCGGGGCTCCATGAGCCTCCATTGCCCTTCAGAACACTCTTGAGGCATGTTGATTTTAATAAGACAGAAACGACCAACATTTAAAATTTGCTATTCAAAAAGACAGGAAAATATACAATGTGATTTAGAAAGGTTTCCATTGAAAAGTTCAAGGATTAGAACTACTGTCTTTTGAAAAACATTGATTTTGTTTTCCTAGTAAAAGCACCTGAAGTGCACAACTTTTAAGGATGACATGTAAGAATGACTGGCATTACTGTATGGTATGAGAAATGAAGAAGTCAGCATGGGAGGAAGAGTTATATAAAATAGGCTGTAACTTCCTACATTAATGTAGAAGGGACTAGATAGCAAATAGAGTTCATCTGTTATTTAGAAGTTGCAGTACTGTAAGAGTCAGAGGGATGTTGAATTTCTTTATGAAATAACTACATGGGAAAAACATGATTGATGATTAGAAAGAAACAATATTTTTTATAATACTGCTTGGTGCTGAATCTAGATTTAAAAATGTTTTGGTGTTTAAATACTTTCTCCATTTTTTCATATGCTATTTAGTTAAAAGACATTATATGGTCATTTGTAGTATACTTGCTAATTTTTAAAAATTCTAATTTTGCTCACTGGCTTGAATATTATGATTTGGAATTGAGTATAATAAAAAATACTAAATAAAATGTTCAAATACTGGAGTGAGAAATGAATACAAAATATACTCACCAATATAAATCACATCTGTAATTTTAAAAATGAATGTTTGTGATGCAAATTTCAGASATAAGTAAAATATCTTGAGTGGGTATACTGATTTTGTTTTGTGTTCAGTATTACCTTAAATAGTTCTCTATTGAGCTGAAACTCAGTCCTCTGCTAATGTGGCAAGAAAGTATTTAAATTATCCAAATAGAACTTCTAACTGATCTTATAACTGAAAACTACCCATAAAATCCATTTATAACATGAAAAATCTCATCAAAACCCATAAATAATTAAAAACTAAATATCACAGTGTAGATGTGGTCTTTGATATTTATATTTATTTTAAACATCTTTTAACAGGCATATTTGACATGAATGCAAGTATTCTCTGATATTCTTAAACTATCTACATCTTCTAATTTTAAGAGATGAAAAGCTAGACTGTCTTTATTTGAGCACTAACCTCTTCTACACAACAAATTTGTCATGATACAATTTATTAACAAATTTATAACTAATAAATAATTAATACTCCATTTTTTATTTTTTAAAAAATGTAGCTGCTTAGTTTTTATTTTTTGAAAAACTGTGTCAGGGAAAGTTTAAGACCAAATGAAATACTTAAGTTTAAAACAAAATAACCTAACTCACATTTCTTTGTGAAAGTTTCAGACCCAAAGTTTACGTCTGTCAGACCAGCACAGAAAATCCCACCTATGGAGAGGGATAGTCAGCATCACCTTGATTGAGGGGCGAGACCTCAAAGCGATGGATTCCAATGGGTTGAGTGACCCTTATGTAAAGTTCCGGCTTGGGCATCAGAAGTACAAGAGCAAGGTAGCTCTCTATTTTCTCTGTTCTGTTCCTATCAATGTTGAGAAGGCATTGGCTGGTAACAGCCATGCTTTAGGAAATGAAAATGCTGGGTATACTTTGAAATGCTTAACAGAACTTTTGAATATCATGTCAGAAAACAAAACCAACAATTCTATTGCATTTCTTTATGTGCTAAATGATCTTAGGTAAATTGCTTAATTCTCTATGTCTCAATTTCTTCATCTATAACTGGAATGATGGTGGGAAATCTCTCTTAGTATACCTATGAGGATTTACAAGAAAAAAAAAAAGGAACAATAACCCAGACAGAACATAGTTGATGCCGGCTTATAAAGTGCCTAGAGAATATTGGCTCTTAATATTATTTTACATACCATAAATCTTTGTGAATTACTCTGAGTCATTTTATCCAACCTTATTTACACCAATGCAGATCACAAGGCTCTAAATTTATCTAAGAAGTAAATGAGCCTGTAATCCCAGTGGCTCAAGAGGCTGAGACAGGAGGTCTGCATGTTCAAAGCCAGCCTCAGCAACAGCAAGGTGCTAAGCAATGCAGTGAGACCTATCTCTAAATAAAATACAAAATAGGGCTGGGGATGTGGCTCAGTGGTTGAGTGTCTCTGAGTTCAGTACCCAGTACACTCCCCCCACCAAAAAAAAGAAATAAACGACCACATTCCTACTGCCACTATCAATGCTGTATCATAGCACATAGCACAAGTTACTTAGTCTCTCCATGCCTCAGTTTTCCCATCTGTAAAAATTAAAAATAAGGACTAGAATTAAAATAAGGCCTAGTAAAAAAAGTTATTGAGAAGATTAAATGAATATATGTTTTTCATGTTAAGGGCTTTGAGTTCTTCCTCACACATTATAAATAATCAGTAAATGGGAAAAGCAAAAGGAAAAAGAAATGTAACAGTAGTAGGAAGTGTATTGTGTGGTAACAATGATGTTCTTAATAATAATATATTAAATAACCTTAGTTATATATTATGGATGAAAGTAATAGTAATTAGTAAAAGTCATAGCATCCAAAACTGTATTTTGAGCACATCTTATCTGCATAATATCCAATTTTGACCTCTTTACTGGTCAGTTTGGACAGCTGATATTCATAGAYAGCTTGGGACCAGTGATTATTTCCATCCTGAAATAAAGATCATAGGTCATTTTGAGGAGAATTCCTTTGCCTTGGTGTCATCATTTTCAGGGATTTTTTTAAAAWTTTTTATTTGTTTTAATTAGTTACACATGACAGTACAATGACCTTGACATATCATACATTTGAATCAGATGGGATATAATTTCTCCTTTTTCTGAGTGTACAGGTTGCAGAATCATATATTGGTCATATAATCACATATATACTTTTTTTAATAAACAGCTTTCCCTTTCTGGGCCAAGAAGTTTTCATCAGAGCTTAAAGTTGTTAGAAATATCATAGTGCTGGTTTGTTAGCAGGCAGTGAGCACCACTAGCAGGCGGGTTACCTTACAAATGCCCACCTGGAATAGAAATGAATCATTTCTGATCTAAAGGAAATCATATAAGGAAGACAATCCTAAAGAAGAAAAGTGAAAAGTTAAGTCTATTTATAGCCACACAAGTAAGAATACCACCTCCCTCCCACTACCAGAATACCCTAGGAATTCATCAAAGCCCAATGATATTTGAATGATCATAGCTAGCATTCAGCCAGTGACTTTCAGTAATTTTTTTCTGATATGGAGCTTAATAACAAATTTTAAGGTTGTTCCCTCTCCAAAAATAGATATCTATGTCCACTTGAATCTTACCTTCTCTCAATTAGCATCATTTCTATGTTCTAGTAGTCTTAAAACATTACTTATTTTTATAGTTTTGCTCTTTAGGTATGAAATATGAAACCCAGCTATGGACATGTGTCTTTCTTTGCTCTTTCTGTCCATGATCTATTGCTGATTAAGTTCACATTATGAACTTTTAAAAATTGTGATTCATTTATATTACCTTTGCACATAACATACTTCATAGCTTTCAAACTCTTTATATCTGAAGACCCACCTGTCATACATCAAAAGGAAAAAAGCCATGGCACACCCTCCTGCTAAGAAACAAATATGACTGTTGTTTAATCTAATGGTGAATGGAATTTTAAATCGTGTCACTGTAGGATACTTTATTATTGATTCTACTAGATTTCTTATCTGAATACTTGAATTTACAAAAGTACACTACAGGGATCTTTTTGTATATGAAACATGAGAACACACACACACACAGTTTCTCCATATGTACAATTGGGATAATACATCAATGCTATGATTCTAAGGTAAAAGTGTGCCTGACCACCAAAATCTACTTGCTTTTCTCTTCTGCTCTCATAGAACTTCATTTTCTGTTTTTCATGTACTCTGTTGAAGATTCCAATGTGTGGGGAGTAAGGGGAAAAAGAAAGTCTGAGAATCCTTGTCTTCATTATAATGAGATAATTATGAATTATGTCTTCATCTATTAACTATGATTATGTAGAATAATTACTAGTGTCTGAGTGACAGATATGAAAGGTAAATAGTGATCTATTTAGCTTTTCTACATGATTTCTATTTCTCTTCTGTTATGTAAGAAAATTGAGGGTCACTTTTGATTTTTTTCAGGACACATCCTTCGGAATCTGTTCATCAGTAAAGATGCTAGAGATCTAATGACTGATTTCTATTTTTTTCTGGAATCTTTGGTTCAAATAGCACACTTACATAATTTTCCAGTTGGTACCTAAGTTTGATTTAAGGTCTCAAGTTAAGTTTTTAAAGGCTGATATTAATAAAATAACAATGACCTTTTGGTTTTCCAGATTATGCCAAAAACTTTGAATCCTCAGTGGAGGGAACAATTTGATTTTCATCTTTATGAAGAAAGAGGAGGAATCATTGATATTACTGCATGGGACAAAGATGCTGGGAAAAGGGATGATTTTATTGGCAGGTCTGTACAATTTGTTATTTTTGGTTCACCCTAAAGAGGCTGAATTTTGTTGAATTTTAAAAATCTGGATATTGTAAGTTATCTTTGTTGTTTTAAAAGAATGTTCTCTTCATTGTAAAGCAATATTTGAAGGGGAAAAAAAGATTCAAAGACTGACCAGTAGGTGGCAGTTTTGACTAGTCGATGGACACAAGCTTTTCCAATTCAGCATCTAGAAATTTTCTCCAGATGTCAGAGATATTGTGCACAGAAGTTATGGGAGTTGAAAAAGAGGAATTTCATCTGATATGAGATACTTAAAGAAACAAAGAGTATATTCATAGTCTTTAAAGTGATCTAACATAGTATTTATTTTCATAATGCATATTGTAACCATAAAATGCATTATTTCCTACAACTGCCTACAAGGGAGAGAATCTTTATAATCTCTTAGGACTTCATAAATCTCTAAAGAGTTTCCAAGTTTTAGTGAAGGAAGCATGTAAGTGAGGCAGGTCCATGTTAATCTGATAATACAGGAAAAAAAATACAACTATTCAGAGGCTTACRTTGACATTTCTTTACAAAGTCAAGATTATTTTGAATGACTACTTGAATCATGAGATTATACAAAATAGTCTAAAACTTGAAAATAGTTTTAGACTATTTTATATTTTTCAATAGTTGTATATGTGTTTTTGAAGCAAAACACTTGAAAACCTGCCCATACTGTAATAAAGCATGGTGTACAGAATTTTTTAGTTTWAAAAAAAATCCTTCTTCACTGTAGTTCACATAAAGTTCAAGTCTTCAAACTTAATATCTAAAGAAAATTCATACATACTAATGATAAAGAAATTTTATTCTAAGAAAGTACAACAAGAATCCAGTCCAACACACGTATCTCTTCATTTTTTATGATTCTCATATACATGTTTTAAGCGATAGCTTTCATCATACAAGAGGTGAACGATCAGCTTCAGTTAACCTTTAATATTTTACTTATAAAATGAAATTGGGAAAACACCACTGTAATATGATACAATTCTATATTTCAATCATTTTTAAAGCAAAGTTCTGTATTGCAAATTTTCTGATAAGTAAAACACTATTTTTCAGAGTTTTCTGAAAGTTCAGTCTTTTTTCCTAGCAGTGTACCACTAGCTTAGGTAGTGGTGTACATCTGTTAACACATTAAATGTGTTTAATTATAATTTTGTATTTATGATTCTGTCTCCCTCAGTATGCTATGAGTTCTATCAAGGAGATGAAATCTCACTATTCCCTGAATGATTCATTCGTTTTCATAGTTTATAGCAACATTAGTTATATTTGGTAATCAGATAATTAGAGTTGCTTTCCTGTATATCCTTCTGCCTTAATCTCATTATTTGATAGTCAAGCTTCCTTATTTTGGCAAAATAATGAAGGCAACTATACTCTAAATTATACTGGCTTCTCATACTTCTGGTGACATATGAAGTTCTTCTTATCCCTTTTTCTACTTTTTTCATAATGCAAATATACTTATATTTATTTTTTCCTTTGGGAAGAATTTCCAAATTTGGTATGTATGAAATTTCTCAGCTCATTTGATACTTTTCCCCATTTTGTAATGTTATGAATTCTTCAAGGGCAAAAGTGGAGGGCAGAGAGGTGGACTTGTTTATTTCACTTCACCTTATTTCTAAGTATCTGTCTACATTTAAGCAAATATTTAGAGAACAGTAATGGATGAGTGGATAGAAGATCTAGATAACTGAGAATTTTTAGAAAGTTTTGTGAAGTTCAGAGAAAGACAAGTAATTCCAATTTTTAACACATGCCAAACGTAACTGCCTCTGAAAGCAATTTGAGCTCAAAAGTTTTAGAGCACAGAAACAAGAGCACAGGTATAGACATAATGGCCATTTTCAAATCTGGAGTGTTGGAAGCAATTTTCAGAAGTATTTTAACAATAAACATTATCCCTTACATTTCCATTTAAACCCATTTAAACTCCCAACAACTGCTCCTGCCAGGGTCACCTCTGAATGACAAGATGTTTAATCCAGTGGCCAGTTTTCAACCTTCCTCTTTCCTACCCAGCACCTATGCTACATTTGGCTGAGAAGTTTCCTTGAAACATTTTTACCTGGCTTCCAGGAGGCCTCGTTCTCTTCTTTTTCCTCTTCCCTCATTGCATGTTCCTTCTTAGTTTCCCTCACTGAGTTTTTTCCTTGTCTCCCTCATGCTGTAGTTCTGGAGAGCCTCAGAGCTCAGGCATTGGGCATCATTTCTGCCTACCCTTTATCCATTCTATTGCTTTTCACATGACCTATAGGTTGACAATTATCAATGTGCAGGTACACTTCAAAACTTTTCTCTCAACTCCAGGTTCCTATATCCAACTCCCTGCTTGATATTGCCACTTGAATGTCAAACAGATGTGTCCAATTTAGCATATACATAGCTAAGTTTCTGGTCCCCAGCCCCTAAATCTGTCTTCTTTMCTATGTTAGTTGTTAACATAAAAAATATTATAGTCATGTTTTACTCCTTTCTCTCTCACTTTCATCAAAGCCATCAGCAACTTGCTAACTTTTCCTTCAAAACATATTCGAAATTTACAACTGTTAGCTTTCTGCCACTATCACCTGCCACAAACACCTGAGATAATCAACTTTACAAAGAGAAAAGTTGTTTTGACTGGTTATAGGCCTTCAACACAAAGACTTTTGGAAGACATTCAAGATCCAAACTACAGTAACTACTTTCCATCACCTCTATCATTGTGATTCTAGTTGAGGCAACGTTAGCTTTCACATGGACAATAGAAAAAGCCTCTGTACTTCTTTCCACCCTTCCCCTTCCATAACACTCTGTTTCCAATGAAGCATCCAGAGTAATATTTTAAAAACACAAATAAAGTAATTTAACTCCTATGTTCAGAATCCTTTACTTGGTTCCCATCCTAATCTGTGTAAAGCAGAAGTTCTCACAGAGTCCTATGATGCCCCACATGATCTGTTCCTGTTACTCCTCTACTTTGAACATTTCTCCCAATCTACCTCTCCTACCCTCTGCTCTCTCCCAGCCGCACTAGACTCTGTGCTGTTCTTTGAGCACACCAGACACTCCCTACCCCATAACTTTCCCTCTGTACCACTCTTACTTCAGGCACCTGTCTTCCTTGCCTTTTTACCTTCTTAAGATCTGTGTACAATATCATGTCAAGGAGGCATCCATACCAAGTCTGTTTAAAATCAAAACCCCCTTTCTCCTGCCCTGCTCTGTTTTTCTCCGTAGAAGTAGCCATCATTTGGTATACTGTACATCTCACTTATTTATTTTATCATTTATTTCCCCTCACTAGAATGTAAGCTCAATGAGGGCAGGGATTTTTTTTTTTTTAGTTTTTTATTCACTCAATACCTAGATAAAAAATCTGGCACATAATAGGAACATAATAATATTTGTTATTTCCTGGATTTTAATTTTAAATTCCCGTAGCTTAATTTAATACTGGAAGTTATGACTTAATTCCCCCCACCCCCAAAAAATTGATCTGACACTGAGCATGAAAKAAATGGCTATTGAAACAACATAACTTAGTGGAAGATATAAATTTTCAGTTTGATTGTGGAAATGTGTGTACTTATAATACAAAAGAGAAGAGTGAATTAAAGTATAAATGTGTCTGAAAAATACTTAAAAGTACTGAATTGTTACATTGGGGGTGAACACAACCCATACATTACCAAGATACTTTTATCATAACATTTTTCAATTGATTCAAAAATTGTACATATTTGGAGGTACTTCATTATGTTTCAATGTATATATCATTGTTTAATTCAAAGTGAACCTATCTATCTCCTCATTTAGCATTTCTTGGTGGTATAGACCTTCAAAATCCTTTCTTATAGAATTTTTAAAATTATACACTTCATTAWCTACAGTCACTCTACTGTACTATATAGCACACCAGCACTGCTTGCTGCTATCTAACTATAACATAGCACCTACTGACCAACCTTTCCCTATTCCTCCCACTCTCCTACTCTCACGAGCCTCTGGAAACTACGATTTTTCTCAACTTCTATGAGATCAACTCTTCAGATTCCATAAATTGGAGAGATCATGCACTACTTATCTTTCTGTGCTTGGATTATTTCACCTGGCACAATAACTTCCAATTCCATCCATGTTGTCATAAATGACAGGATTTCATCCATTTTGTGAATGAATGTAATTCTGTTGCATAAATGTTCCACATTTATTTGTCCATTCATTATTTCATGGACACTAAAGTTGCTTCTATTTCTTGGCTATCGTGAATAGTGCTATAGTGCACATAAGAAAGCAGTTGCCTCTGATATACTGATTTCATTTATTTTGGGTATAAACCCTGGAGTAAGATTGCTGGATTGTGTGGTTGTTCAATTGTTAATTTTTTGAGGAAGCTCCATATTGTTTTCAATAATGACAGTGGTAATTCACATTCCTACCAGTGGTGCGCAAGGATTCCCTATTCTCTACATTCTAACAGCACTCACTATCTTTGGTCTTTTTAACAGTAGCCATTCTTGTAAAGGTGAAATGATAACTCATCATGGTTTCAATTTACCTTCCTTATTTTGCTAAATGTCTACATAGTTCTATTTAGGCATATTGCCCATTTGATTTGGATATGATGATGATGATGACAACAACAACATTATTGAGTTTTTTAGTTTCTTATGTAGTCTGGATATTAACACTTTCTGCTTTGAGTCAACTCTCATATGTATAATGTGACAGAGGTCTGGTTTTATCCTTCTGCATKTAGAAATTCAGTTTTCCCAAAATTATTTATTGAAGAGATTGTCTTTTCTCTACTGTGGCACCTTTGTTGAAGATCAGTTAGCTCCAGATGAATCGGTTTATTTTAGGATCTCTATTCTCTTCCATTGGTCTAGGTCTGTTTTTATGTCAATACCATACTGTTTTAATTACTATGGCTTTGTACTCTATTTTTAAGTCAATGTAATGCCTCCTTT